GGTGTAGGGATCGCTGTAGGCTGGGTAGTGAGGAAAGTATTCGGGGGGGCCGCCTCCGCCACCTTTTGGAGGTGTCGGAGTGTTGGTTCCTCGAGTACTTGAACCACTACCTTCCGACAGTTTCCCTACTCCTGCACCTCCACCATCCTGGGGGTGGGGCTCTTGGTAGGAAGAAAGGAAGGTGCTAGACGGGGACTAACCACAGAGCAAAGAATAATAAGGACAAACACAAATGAAAAACAGAAGGAGGCTGCAAACAAGGAAGCCAGGCCTGCGACCCTGGACCCATCACAAGCTCTAACAACGGGCATGCAATTCTCATGACTTCGGGTAACTGAAACACCCTCGAAGGAGTCGAAACAAAAAGAAGATATGCTAGCGGCAAACCAGATAGAATAGCAACAAACCAGATAGTCTAGCATCAAACCAGATAAGCTAGCATCAAACCAGATAAGCTAGCAGCAAACCAGATAGGCTAGCAGCAAACCAGATAAGCTAGCAGCAAACCACATAGGCTAGCAGCAAACCAGATGAGCTAGCAGCAAACCACATAGGCTAGCAGCAAACCAGATAAGCTAGCAGCAAACCACATAGGCTAGCAGCAAACCAGATGAGCTAGCAGCAAACTACATAGGCTAGCAGCAAACCAGATAAGCTAGCAGCAAACCAGATAGGCTAGCAGAAATCCAGATAGTCTAGCATCAAACCAGATAGGCTAGCAGCAAACTATAAAAGACTGGTCAAGACCAACTCGATGAGGGAAATCAAGTGCGGGATGTTGAACAAGCAGAGGAAACCAAAGACTAAGAGGTTGGAACTTAATTACCCAAAGGAATACGGTGGAGATTCTTAGCTTTGCTGTAGAGTAACCAATAAATACTCCCTTCAATGAACTACATATTTTATTTTTATTTTTGAATTAGACATAAGTTAAGGGCTTCTTTATAAAAGGTAATAGAAATGTTTTGTGGATTATCTGGGCATCGTCAACAATTTTAAAATGTGTTTTACAGGTTATGAAAAGCTGTAAATGTTGGATCATGACCTTAATATACTGTTCCTAAAAAAAATAAATATCACTAGTAATACTAAAAATACTACTAGCCGTGAGCTTAAGTTTACGAATAATGTTAAGCTGCCTTCAAATTTACAAGCGTTGTTCCCTCAGGTGTTAGTGTATTGGGTTGTTCACATGAACTTCAAGTAATTTGATCTGTTGGTAAATATGCAATCAAACTTTTATTGCTCTAAAATTCTGATAGTGTGTTAGGTTTTATTGCAGTGTAAATAACATGCATATTCTTTTCTCTATCATATACTGTATAATACAAGCTGTGTTTGTTTGTCTGCCAGTCAGTGACAAGGCTCTTCTAACCCATTCGTGTGGTGAGATTAGTTCGGCACATCCAAATATTAAATAAGCAAGGCTGTTCTACTGGTACCAAATTCCGTAATACGTCTCTATGCATAGTATGATATTAAACTTTACCACCTCTTGAAATAATTATCCAGGAGAGTAGCTGCGTGTGATTGCAGGAATTATCCTTGTCCTTGCAACATTGTCAAGGACACGTGATTATAATACAACCGAGATAGATGAAGCTGACACGGAGTCGTTATACTCTATGCTGAAATTGAAGGTGATTACAGCACAGTGATCATAGAAAACACTATCAAACACTTATTCAAACATTGTAATGCTGTGAATTTGAACATTCTTCGACGTCTTTCTTCTAGTACAGCATTTGAATGGCAACAAGGTGGTGTTTTAAACATAAGCTAATTCGAGTAGTATACTTTGACCTTTTGACCTATACGACTGACACTATATAATTTGTTTGCAACATTTTACAGTTAAAGGTTTAAGTTATGTCTTGGTTTTAACCTGGCCTAAACCGACCTTAAATAATTAAATCCTAATCAGGAGTTGTGAATACGTTTCAACGTGTGAAAACATCGGTTTCGATAGTCTAACTGAAAATTCCTAAGGAAGTCTTGATGTTATAGTAATAAACAAGGTTAAACATTTAATGTTTGTAGTACTATGTGCTTTAGTTCCACCACAGTAAAAATTCTTCTTTTACTCTGATATTAGAAATGAGAAGTATATCGAATTCAGTTAATATTTTGATACTGTATAGATAATATTGTGAAAATCCAAACGCAATTTTATTCAGTGTGAAGGTTTATTATTCAATTAGCAATTAGATGTCTTTGACCATTACTTTAACGGCAGGATATCGACGAATTGGGTAAAAGTATAATTGAATGTCTGGAGATAGCGAATTGACGTATGGACAATAAATAATGCGATTACTTTCAACAATTCAGCTTTTTGAGGGTCAACAGATGGCCTGCGCCACGGGCAAACCAAGTGATTCGCGGCAGATTCCTGGAAAATGGTTTTATTTCACAAAGCAGTATTACAAAACTGCTACATTGAGGGGTAAATTATTTATCAGATCTATGAGTTATCATATTGGTAAATATATAGGTCTTATATGTAAGGTCTTATGTGTAAGGTTATATGTGTCTTATGGTAAGGTATATAACCCCGTTGAACAATTTATACACTAGCTTTAACTAGCTTGAATGAAAACGGCTGAATCAACCCACACATAATGTATTACTTTTTAAAGTTTTAAGCTTGATTTTTTTACCGATTATGGAGGCATGAACAATACAACAGTTACAATAAGTGTCTCCTTCAGTTTTGTACAGCTTAAGTTGGATCTCCATTCATACTTGGCTTAAAATACCTACTTTGTATGATCACCATTTCATTGGAAAGTACATATAAAGTATTGAAGAAAAACGCTTTTAACAGCAGCAAGCAGCATATCATGTCAACTCGATTGAACTAGTCCCTTTTAATTCTAAAATATCGTTGACTTCGGATAGTACGTAACTAACTTTTCATTCTTTCGAAAAATTACAGGTATAATTTTGTGCGTATTTAACATCTATAAGAGGAAATTAGAAGAAATTGTGGGAATTCAAAGTAACTGTCCTTTTTTAGGGTAGATGTACAAATATTCGTAATAATAAGATACAAAGCAGTAAATAATTGAATTGGGGATAGTTGAATGCAATCCTCATCAAAATGTTATTATTTTATTATATTTATAGCAATTTTACAATGAGGTGTCATTGGTATTGTGATGATACTAGAGGACAAGTGCAGTTTTATAAATAGGCAGGATGTTTTATCGTGTTGGTTTTAAAGATTACAGAAATCTTTAGAAATATACAGTAAACATCAAAACACATTCTATAGTTCGGACGCTTAGAAAACGACCTGCGCGCTAATGCTAAACCAATGCTGGAGGAGGTCGTTTTCTAAGCGGCCGACCTATAGATGTAGGCTACTAGACAGACATACAACTTAAATTGTCTTCGGCTTTTAATGAAAGGTCATGAAGAATGAAAAATCTAAAAGAGAACTTTTTTCTTTGTTATCTTTAAAAATACTCTTGAACCCAATGGAACCAATAATAGTCTGCATAACCGTGTGAAACAGTCCCATCCTAGATACACTTACCTTATGTGAAATATATTATAACGTCGACAATAGACAAACATTCAAATATAATACCCAACCAATGTTCTTCAAACATCATTATCACATATAAGCTTTTTTTGTTTCATAGCCTATTCAAACAGTTGGCATTTACTGAGAGCCCTGACGTGTGTGTCTTGTAGACTCAATGGACAAAGCAGTTCTTATCTGGTCCATTAATTCACAGTTTGTGTTTGGTAACTTCTTCAACTCTCTCTTTCAGAGGTGGGTCGCCTTGGCCGTCTGTGTCCTCTAGTACAGGGAACTGCTCTGAGATTCTGTTATGTCTTAACTAATCTTTCTGACGGGGTTCTTCTTCTCTTCTCTCGTTATAGTGTGTGTAGCCTGGAAGAATGGAAGAAGATCTTTAAATTCAGGAAGTTTGAACTTGTATAGGTAGTGTAAACAATAATCATATTTTAATAGTAAAATCACATACATACTGTATCTTAGTTGGTAATTTAGGCAGTTAATAATAATAAATGTTATTGAAAACTTTCTACGATATTGGCATTTTTATTTATTTTTTACTGTTCACAACTACTGTAGCCTTCTTACTATATCTAACGTCGACCTATTTTTACATTAAGCAAAAATTTAATGCAAGCGTCATTAAACAATTGCACAATGGCGTTTGGTTACAAAATTGATCACGAGGGATCGAACCAGCAACGTTGGATTTGAAGGTGAGCACTAGACAATATAAAATAGGTTTACGTACCTTACGTCGTCAATCCTAGGATAGTCTTTCAAGCATTTTTTTAAAATTTTTTAATGCTTGAATATGCATGAACGAAATGCTTGAAAGACTATCCTAGGATTGATTACGTAAGGTACGTAAACCTATTTTATATTGTCTTAAATCAATCCTGGAGGCAATGCTGAATAAATGAGCACTAGAACCTACTGCTACTTAGACAATTTATATTTATTACTGTAAAATATAACAATCCTAACTTTTACATACTCGTAAATTATATTTATTTACATTAACGATCCATGCTAACACAATGCTAAAACCAACATGCTAAAACACATGCTAAAACCAATGGTAAATGTAAAATGATATAGATGAGATTCATCGTAAGTCACTTTAGTTTTATCTACCTACCTAAAAAATCGCCTTGTGACGTAATTACAGCATAGGCCTACCAAACAACGTAAATATTTGGTTAACTTTCAAAATCATATTCTGAAGTGTTTCGTAATTTTAAAAATGATTCCACTATCTCGAGTGCTTCTTCCTTTGTTTAGTACGTCAACTGTCGTATTTTGCTGATAAGAGACAGACATTGTGTTTAAGTTTCTCATGTTTTATCTGTGCATTGGTAGATTTCAATGCATTTGAACACCAGTAGTTCAGCACGTGCGTTTAAGTTTGTTTGTTTGGGGATACGTTCTATTTCTTGTGATTAAATTGAACAATCTCTTAAGTCTTTGTGTACCTTGTGAAACTTAAAATTGAATGAAGTGTCCACGGTTTTGTGAACGAGTGGTAAAGTTGCAGTACATGGCAGATCTTAGTGAAATTAGCTAATGGAATCTTCAAAAGACGGTGGCATTTTCTCGTTAAAATAGGTAGGATAGTATTGTAGCTCTTTGCCCTCTATTGTGAAATATTAAGCATGTTTTGGTCCATAGGTTTGAGTGTGCTGATGTGGTATTAAGGAACAAGAAATGAATTTAGAGTAAAGGATACAAACTCACTTGAATTTTGCTAAGAGTGAAGTGTGGGGGGGGGGGTTAGATATATACTGCACCAGATGAAATGTAATACCATAGATGAAGTAATAATACTGTAGTAGGCTATTCAAATAAATCGTCGATTTGGTTTCTGAATTGGTGAAATCACAAGGAATACATAAATAGGACTACAAGATCAAAAAACCCTCTACTAGGCCTACTCTGTATATAGACATACCTTGAATTCGCCATCAACATAATGTATCATCCAAATTAATATTGTGTTTAATTGATTTACATCTATTTGTTAATCCAAACTGTACACAGAAAAAATGTGTACATATAATTTTGTAAAAACTTAATGTAAACTCAATCCAAAGACAGGAAAATTATTAAAATCTGTTAACTATTTTGTGAGTTTCAATCTCAACGAAACCCCACCTTCCCAAAACTAAAACACGTGTTCTTATTTCTTGTTATTGTTCATATTTAAGTAAGGTAAATGCACCAGTAGCTGACAGTGCTCCAGAAGCTGACAGTTTGAGTTTCTTAACATTATAATGTGGTCTCTTAAAAATATTTACACATGATTGCATTGTTAGAAGAACATATGTTTATTCTTGATTTGTTTACAAACAAATCAGCGAAATTTAGCCCATACTCGCGGAATGGTGGTGGTTTGAAAGCAACCCTGTCTGTACACATCACATTTAGTCGATTCCCTTAATGAAATTGTTAAGAAAGTAAGTTTGGTTTTTTGTCATTTCGCTAAATTTCTTAAGTAGTATTAATGATCAGGCTCATTATTTTGATCAATTATACCTTTGTTGACAATTTCATGATAAAATTGGGGTGTTAGGGGTTTTGGATTTAAAATTATATCAATGTCAGGCTTTGGTACACAAAAGCCATACAAGTTCCACTAGCTGACAGGGGATATTTGCTACTTGAACAATATTAAATTGGTTTTACCCATCGAAATTTGCATGTTATTTATAATTTATGTGATCTCACATTTTTATAAAATGATTTTAATTTTTTAATTTATTAGCGATATTATCTTAAAAAATGTATATTTTTTTTAAATATATATAAAATATATATATATATTTTTTAATGTAAATATTTTTTATTTTAAAATATGTAAAATAAATTTTCTTAACAACGTTTTACATGATTTTATAATTTAATTATTAGGTTAGATTTTATTCCTCTTATAAATTATAAAACCCTTAGGTTTAGCAGCTAGTACATTTATAGTTCCAGTGTCAGCTACTGGGACAACTGACAGTCAGCTACTGGTACAAGCACTTTTTTCACTGTCAGCCACTGGAACACGTACAAAGGTTGAATTAAGTTTAAAAATGTTATGAAATATATTTAAAAAACCCTTTTTGTATGACAAATTTGAAAACTACACTAAATTTAGAATCACATAAAATCCGTAATATCTCTTTAGTTCCTATTTATTCAAAAACCACGGATTATTAAGTGCGTATAGTTTCTTCTACTGTCAGCTACTGGTGCATTACCTTAACTGGAAGTTGGTGAGTTATATGCGAGTGCGTGGCTGAAACAATGTTCGCAAAACAGCTGACAAGGTTTTGTTCGCAAAACATGACCCCTACGTCCGACTAAGCAGAAACAATACAACAGTTGTACCACGTTCGACAGCCAAGGAGCAATGTATCACAATACAACGATACAATTGATTTGGGTTTAAACGTAATATCACATGTTTCGCATTGATTTTCCTTCTATGTTTTCCGTTTATCTACTTAAAAAAATAAACTTACATAAAGATATGCAACTTTTAAGATCCAGCATCCCGTCTTACGATATTGTTTGTAGAATTACAATCTTTGTAATAATTTTCTGAATAAACTTTAAACATCTTTTACGGGTTAGGCAGTAAATCTCCGTTTTCGCCGGATCCAACTACCCACACGATGGAAAAGAACCAAACTATTTTGTTTTTGGATGCTAGTCTCGATTAGAACAGAAACCAGTTTGCTTACGAAACAAGCTAGTTTATCTCTAGTTCTAACTAAATTACAGGTTATAAGGAATTAGGCCCTATAGAGTTTTTAAATTATGTTTGGAATACACATACGTAGTATATAGGGCCTACTTTTAATGTTTATTAATTTCTGCATGGAATTAAAGCAAAAAAAATGTTTAAAAACAAGAAGAGCTGTATTTAAACACCGTAAAAGCAATATTATGGCTTGTGAATGTATTATGGTTTTGTGTTGTTTGTTTTGCGCCCGTCTAAACTTTATTTGTATTTTTTTATCTATGTACTAGTAGATAATATGTGTTTCTAAATTTTGAGAGGATGCAGCAAAATACGATATATATACATTTTATAAAATAGTGGAGCCATAGACAGGTGGAGCTTTTATGTATTGTACCCGAGCAAACACAACAAAATTATAATCCGATTGGGCTAACGCCAAGCTTGATCGTGCTCGGCAGAGATGTAGGTCCATTCATGTCCTTGGACCTGAGAGTACGCTCCGTGGATGTAAAAAGTCTGACAGGCTCATGTGGAGGTTTTGGAAGTAAATATTTTTATTTTCATAGGAACAAATAAACAAAACATTTTATTTTTTGCTCTTTTTACATCGCCATTTAATTTGCTTACATTTCGATCAAATTAATTTAATTAAACAAAACGTAATTTTATAATATAAAAAGTGGTTTTATCCCTATGTTTTTTTTTTTTCATTAGACTAGATAGTCTCGTACATCTCAGCCGTCATACTTTTACAATACCACCCACATTTATTTCTATCTGTGTTTCAACCACTTTTACGAGAAAAGTAATCACAGTATTTGTTTTAGAAAACTGGTAAAATTACTATGTTTAAATAATGAAAACTGTTTATTTTGGCGTGCGAATTGACAACTAGACCTTGGCCTAATCGTCGCTTGTCTTACGTTATGAACGGAGCTTTCTCTAAATCACCTTATTACTCTAACCAACCCCGATCTGTTCAGGAGAGGCCAACAACTTGTCAATAAATCATCAAAGTTCCGATGGCCTTGTCTTGAATAGCAAAATCAGATGGAGAAAATTACTATCAAACTTTGCCGTTACGGCTGCAAACTTTGCAAACGGATACAGAGTTGGAATGTTTGGGTTTTCGGCGTAAAAAGTACTGTAACTTAAAGATTGTTTACACATTTATTCAGTGTCGTTTCAAAAATAGTTAAGGGAAACGTCTTACATAGTTTTTCACCTCGATTACTTTTTAAATATAATTCACTATTTAAACCCAGGGTTTACATATTAATCTGAAGACCTTCATTTTATGTTTATTCTCTACGTTTTACCGCAGACATCATTTTTTTATAAATAAATGTTGGCATATTTCCAATGGCCCAGAGTTCCAGATTTTGACTTTTTTTGAGGAAGCGCATTTAATTCAACTTGATTGTGAATCTTAATTAGGGGTGTAACAGTTATCTTATCATATTATGTCATGTATAGGCTATCATATAAACTGGACATGTAGCTGCGTGGTTATAGTAGGCCTTTATATATACATAAAGTTTTTACCGAACTCAAAACAAAAACACATTTTATTTAAAAAGTATTTACAGACAGAAACCATTGCGATGCGTGCACATGAACTCAAACTACATAGATCTATGATGATGTAACTCATTTTAAGGTACATAACATAATGACATAACATTACAATACATGACATAACATAATATATAACATAACATGAGGGTGACACTCATCCTTAACTCATAATATTTGAGCTTAAATGCACACTTATTTTTTTAGTAGGTGTTGTCTCCATCTCTGATAATGATAGTAATTTTTGTTTACAAAAGTTGTTGTACTGCCTGCGTCACTTTTACGTCTGTTTACAACTCGACTTTTTAACGTTTATCATTGTTACTAAAGATAACGGAATAAAAAATTTTTAAATGAAATTGTCAACAATCTTGGCAGCAGAGTGGTTATTGTGCTTATCAAATAACCAGACGGTCTGCGGTCTCTGGTTCAATAATGCGAAAATTAAGTAGCTTTTCTTCATAGTTTTATACTTGATCCAGTTAGCCTTGATATTGAACTTTTATAAAATGGCCCTTTCTAAATAAGAAGCTGACATTGACACTTAACAAAGCAGGTAATCAATCATGCTCCATTCCACACTATTATTTACTCATATTTTCATCCTAAAATACGTAGTACAAAAAGAGGGTTTGTGTATAAACTTTCACTAGGTCATGAAACAGAGACGCAGGTACTTGAGGTAACATTAGAATATCGCAAAAGAAGAAGCACCTCTAGAATAAGATATCCATGGGATATTAGAACTACTGTAGAAGTTGTCCATGGCATATTTTGAAGATAATCGGGACGTTGTACGAAAGATATCCGTTATAATATTAAGAAGGAATCCTGGATACTTAGAAGACGCTTGACATAATTACTTAGTATCTTCAGTATACTTAGAAGAAACTTATGAATTATTCTGTTGATATCCAGGACCCAGGATGTATTAATCAATCAACTACAAATTCTTTGAAACCATGACACACACTCGGGTGCGTATTTTAACCTGAATATGAATGATGAGCGTATATTGGAGTGGGATGAAGAGACATACGATATAGGTTTAAGATTATAAGAGGTAAAAGGAGATAGTTAGACATATCCAGAGGAAATGTTAGAAGATATAAGGATACAATTAGAAGAGAATCGTGATACATCTGAAGGTATCCGAGGTATATTTAAAAAGATGCACTCAATGTATTTAGAAGACATTTTAGAAGATTTTAAGAGTAGACCTATATCTTGGATATGATTGGAATTTCCAGGATATATGTGGAAGATAAACAAGAGATATTCAGTAGACATCAAGGATGTATTTAGGAGATATTCAAGCAAGACGGATTCGCCAACAGATAGTGCAAGCCTAGCCGCCGGATGTGTTAGTTGAGTTGAGCAGCTGATCACTAATGATCAGCAACCTGCAACCTCGTGACCCTGTCTAAGCTCAAGGTCAACAGCTGATTCACAAGACTGTCTACGTCACTGTGGTAATACCCCACACGAGTCTAGTTACCAAGCATCCGGCTGCATAACTCTGCTCTTGAATATGTAGTTACTAGTTAGTGATTGATAGTTAGCACAGAGACAATGAAGTGTGGTTTGACATGCAACATTATCTTTATGTTAGTATTTCACATATTCCTCAGAATAATAATCTATATTAAAAATATAGTTTTTTCTTTTCCAAGTCGGTCGTCTCGTCTCGTCCACCCGATCTTAAATTAAAGGTATGCACGCACAGATTCACCAATTTAGCATCGGCATTCTTTTATTTATGTTGGCGACGTATATTTCGAGTTTTGCACAAAAGCAACTTCCTCCCTGTTCATTTCTTATATGAGTTAAATCTGTTATTTTCTTTTCCGAGTTCCTTTGGCTCTTCTAAAGATTTGATTTTCATAATTTTGGTCTTAAATGAAATATATAATATATGCTATGCACGCACAGATTTTCAATCCATCAAGCATCATCATTCATTTATACCTTTCTACGTCATTTCTCGACCAAAAAACATAAATTAGATTTTTTTCGAATTCTTAGGTAGGTACTTAAATCAAAGATGTATTTCTCCAGTTCTAATTACATTATCGTATATGTTATGGTCCAAGGACCTTCAGTCAATGCCAGCTTTCATTTGAGATATTATTTACTAAGATAGGACATATCTGAAGCGCACTAAAGAATAACAAATGAACAATAATTATAATTATTTTAGGACTTTAATAATAACTTTATTTTTATTTGAGTTATTCTATATATCTTGGTCTTAAAGTACCGGTACCTACTCATAGAAATAAAGGATTTTCTTTCGAGATTGATAGTTTGAATCAGTTAAGTTCAGGATACAGTACTGTTTGCAATTTTGCGCTATTATACCCCTCGTGTGCTTTAAGAATAATGTGAATGGGAATGTAACCTTGATTATTAGATTTGTTTATTGAAGATTTTTATGCGTGTTACTTGCATGGTCACAATTTCAATTAAAAGTATAAAGTATCATGTACTTTTTGTAGAAAATGCCAATTTTTCTTAGTGTGGTTTTGGTTTTTTTTTAGAAAATGTTGATTTTTGTAAGCCAAATGATGTTTTTTTTTATTTTTCAAATTTATATAACATGTTGTCCTTATGTATTCTTCTATAGTGATTTAATAGGACTCCAAATTTTTTAAATACCCTCTGAATTTTGTGGGTTTGTTTTAATTTTAATTTCATCAGTGTATTCACTTAACTTACCTACGGTTGCTTAAAAAGGTCAGCAAATTTGGAATAGGTAGGTACCTATCCAAGAAAATTTACAGTGCATGTGTATGGGGGGCCTTCATTGACCTACTACACTGCCCTGACCTTTGACCCCCTTATCTCAACTGATAAGTCAGTAACCTCTTTGCGCCTAACTGAGAAGGCCACTCAACATTGATAAACTGCAAAAAAATAATTGAATGAAAACTCCCAAAGAAATTACATTTACATTTTTAGTGTTTCTGTACTATTATATGAAAATAGTTTGTTTGAAAAAGTTTTAAGATTATTGGAATATTAAATTTTTATTACTAGTACCAAAAGTGGCATTTTCCAGGGAACGCTCAAGTTTCATGTGAGGGACCAACCGAACACAGGAACACTAAATTTCACTTGCAACTCGTTTAATCTATGGTGCGAGGTAAAGCTGAGGACAGGAATAATTGGAACCATACACCGGTAGCCTGAAAATCCCTTTCGGTACAAGTTAAGAACAATACTTTTCACCAAAACTAATAAATACACACAAATACCCCCACCGCAGCAAACCTGCAAACTACGTGAATTTCCATATGCCTGATTGGGTTTTCACTTAAATTCAAATAACATTAGGTTTATTGAGTACCTATGTTTACTGCTACAGGGAGGATAATAAAGTGTGTTTTTAGTAAAATATCAATAGGGTAGCTTAATATAAAATATAAAATTTTCCAAGTTTGCTCAAAATATACCCCTAACAAGCAAACTATAACAGTTTACTTATTCTCAATAACAATAACATGGGAATTTAAAGTTTACAATTTTTGAATTTTATCCATAGAAAAACACTTCAATATACTGTACTTAATTATTTTTTTTTTGTTATTCAAAATGGTTTTGTTATTGTTTATATAATTTTTTCTAAATAGTAAAATGGTGTTTGAAGCTGGGGTGACCTCAGCCTACGGGAGTATCACACCTATGTTTTATCCTTCCACCATGGTACAAATACTCACTTGAATAATATGATTAAAAAATACCCCCACCGCAGCAAACCTGCAGACTAAGCGAATTTCCATTTGACTGATTGGATTTACACTGAAATGTCTACTTAAAAATATAACATTTATTCTTGATTTAAATAGAATTAGTTTAACAAGTACTTAGGTTTGCTGCATCAGGGAGGGTAAAACTGGTTTTTTTTTGTAAAATGTGAATAGTTAGTAAGAAATAAAAACATTTTCCAAATTTGATCAAAATATGTTCACAAACAAGCAAACTACAACAGTTTACTTATTCTCCATAAGAATAACATGGGAATTTTAAATTTAAAATTTTTTGAAATTTTCTCCGTAACCATTAGGCGCATAATAACGCTTCAATATACTAAATTATTTGTTTTTTTAAGCTCTACAAAATGGTTTGGAAAGAAATTGCTAAATTTTATGTTTTTTAGGTCAAAAATGGGAAAAACCTATTTTTACCCCATAAAACCCCCCGTAAACCCCCGTTCCCATGGTCCGATCATGCTGGATCGCGAACTCGTTCGAATAAACGTACGTTTACACGTTTGTACCAAATATCATCAAAATCAGATCATTTTTGCTCGAGTTATCGTGCTGACGGACACACATATATATAATATATATATAAAAATATATATATATATATATATGAATTTGAACGGATGGTGTTTTTGGCCTCTAGGGACCTCAAAACAAAAAAAAAACCGGTCCCGCGTCCAGGTCTTACCATGAGTACTACGGTAATAGCTTATTCCCTATAGGGGAAATTCGCTAATAAAGAGACAACCTGATGAACGCATTTTATGCCATATTTATTGAAACTGGCAACTGGATAGACGTAATTAAAATGTGTTACACATGCATGTTCATCACCACAGTGTTTACCTTGCTGTGTGAGTATTCGGATCATTCACTTTTTTATCATTGACTTTGGATACCGGTACTGCAAATCTCATTGTAAAATCTCAAGCCGGTTTGCATGCCTACTTATTACCAAATTATGTTTGAGTTCACAAATGTTAAGTAAAACGTTTTTATAATATTACGCTAACATTGCAGTGTGTGCTCTACTGGTATGTTGAACTACAAGTCATGGAGAAATATATTTGATTAGAATCATTACATTTGGTTGTACATTTTTTGAAGGTTGGTAAAATCATAGATAAAACATGGATGTTGAAATACAAAGGGAATATCAAAACATTCTGATTCTACATACTGACATACAAATACCTTAAATGTTAAATCAACATAACATAACAAATCCATAAGGGAGTGCACCTAATCTATGGGTTAATATAGTGAATTTTATATAAACTATTTCAGAGGTTACTATGATGGTAACTCTCATGCCAGTCCTGCAATAAAATAGTTCTTCCAATCATGATTTGAATCTAATGTAACCAATTTTTCTATTGTAACTTGTAAACCTAAACCCTAGGTTTCCAGCACCTTCATCAGAGTACTGTATACTATTACATTTATTGTTTTGTGTCTGTCTAACAAAAATAATTATTGTTTCAGAAATGGCATTGCAAGAAGTACCGTTGGAAACATTTCCTGCTAAGAAGAGAGTCAAACCAATAGAACTGCGCTTCGATGATCTCAACTATACAGTATCAATGGGATTTAGAAAAGGTAGGTAACAGTTTCCAAACAAAAACTATTTTATTTTACTTAAAACACCTGTCAGGAAATGTTTCATACAGGTTTTAGCCATCAAAATATATTTAGCTCATTTATTTTTAAGTTCATTTCATTTTACCACAGACTAAATTTTTGCATTGCTATCTATCTAATACAATTGACTAATGATAATAATACGTTATAAATAACATGTATTAAGAAAATCAAGAACAAGTTTAAAGCAATGAACAGAAGTGTTTGTGGTGCAGATTAATTTATAATCAAGTAAATAAAACTGTCAAGAATGATATGTGAAACATAGTCAGCTGTTTTTGACATATTCAATTATTGGCAGGCATCCATCATGTTTGTTTCCTAACTATATCATTTTATTGACGTCTGGAAGTTAATCAGTTTTGGATAAACTTTTACGAAGTTGAAGTTTGAATAAGTAGGTTGCTACGGCTTGCATGGTTTTTATCAGTGGTTTGCTAGAACTTCATATTTTTACATCAACCATATTTTATTTTTTAAACCTAAAATAATTCAAATAAATTTACAAGATGAGAACTCTACTGCAATGACTAATTGAACTTATCTTGCTTTGTATGGTTCTTGTTTTTTTCTCCAATCTCCAACATGTTTCGCCATGGTGTGTGGAGATAGTAGAATGATCTCTTTACATTATATACATACTATTTACACAGGTTTACGCTAAAATAGTGTAAATAATATTAGAAGATGTAACAAAATTGTGAAATATATTGGAGAAAAAAAAACAAGAATTCTGCATGATCAAAGACTTTAAAACAAGGTAAGTAATTTTAACTATTTCATGCCACTGGGAAATAAAATATAAAAAAAAACAAAAAAAAACAACTGTAAGTTAAGCAGAACCATTTTTGGACAGTTAGAAATAGAACACGAATATTGGCCACTTAGTAAATGGTAAGCCAAGCATTGTATTTTGGAATACTTTCTGGTGTGGATTAACGTCTGCACTAGTGAGTACTACGACTATCCGCAGTACTATCCTGATAATTAGACCAATTAATTCATTAACACCAAGGCAAAAATGTGGTTCGGATTCAACTGTAAAATGTAGGTCCCTTAGTTGCCATTAGCTGTATGGGCTATTAATTAAAAGATGTGTCTAAAGGAGTATGTCGGCCTTAGTCACTAACAAGACTACAAGATCGCGCCACTCATCTCCATTCATACAGTACTTGGCTTATAATACCTACCGTACTTTGTATGTCATTGACGCCATTTCAATGAAAAGTAAAGTAAGTAGGTACCTACTTAAGTATACTGCCCATCTATTAGGACCAGCTATTCAGTGTAGCCTAAATCATTGAAATCAATATGGGTTTTTGCTCTGAAATATTCAACTATTATCGCTATTTTACAGGAAAAAAAGAGATTCTTCACAACGTGAACGGATGTTTTCTACCTTGTCAGCTGGTAGCTATCATGGGTCCTTCTGGAGCTGGAAAATCTTCCCTCCTGGACCTTCTGTCTGGATACAGGTGAGGACTTTAAAATATTTATTTTTCTTATAAAGAAATAGACTGTATCTTTGAACCTTGCAATAGCCCATTTACATGGGTCTCATTCCCGTGCCTGGAACATTTACAAGCAAAGAGTTGGTCCAATAAAATAAGAGATGAGCCAGTGCAGTAGAAATATGACAGTGGTGGCACTAAAACATGACTGACCGAGCCTCCAACTCTATAATATGGCCTCCTGTAGGGACTAGCTATCGCAATATAAATAAATATTCATTAATACAACTAAATATATAATTAAGTGGTGATCACTATCGTTAGAAACGTTCATTGAATTATTTTGGTCCCCACAGTTTTCACGGAGTAAAATGTTTCCAAACAATGTCGCCCTGTTATTAATAAATGTCATTTTTAGAATGTAAAAAAAATTCTAAAAAGAAGTGTATGATTACTATTATTAAATCTAAATGGTAGGCTACACTGTATCGCTCACTGCAGACATAACATAATAACTATAATGCCAATATCTGCGCAAGGGTAAAAATCTAGAGTGCTGACATTACAAATTATCTTCTATTACAAAACACTATAATGTCTTAGTTGAAGTAAATGTTTATTACTCGGCCCCATTTTTTACTTTCATTAATGTTTAAGCATATTGAACAAACTGACAATCTATGTTGTCTGGTTTTTTGTGATTTGCTATAGGTACATCATCATAGAAGTAATTTGTCCACTTATACTTTTTTCCATTTACTTATTCAGTGGTATGTGATTTTGTAACCCTATACTGTAGTTTCATAAAATCATAACATAATTTTGTCTAAGAATTTTTGCAAAGAGAAATCTTTGTTTTATAAATCAAAATATATTGATGAAATAGTAAATAAAAAGATGATGAGTAGGCTTAGCCCTTTTTTCATTCTTCAGTGCTACACAATACCTTCAATATCAAACTTGTCAAGTCAGTGATTGGCTATTGATTTTAATTAACCTCATTCATTGATCTCCACCCACACATCCCTAGTTAGAATAATCACTAATTTACCTATTCATTAGCCTAATTTTAGAATATTCAATAATCAAAACTGATAATCCATTTCAGTTAGTTGCTCATTATCATTGAACAGATAAATTTTAGTCAATACAAAGTCCGAATAAAAGATTATTGCGATGTTTATAAATAATTAACTTGCTGGTTTTATGGGTGGATAAAGGTTGTTGTCATTACTTCACACTTGCTTCCTTGTTTATAAACCTTGCACTATGATATTGAGTTTTAAAATGCTACAAATCACATAATAGCTCAAGAATTTTACATACCGATTGAGTTTATTGTACCACAAGAATTTTTGTACCAATGGAAATTAAAGTCCATATTCACAGATTTGTTCATGTAAATTAGTTTGACTTTTACAAGAAGTAAAACTATAGCTATAATGATGAAACCACTGAGCTAAAATTATAACTGGAGGTAGCACTGCCATGGCAGAAGTCTATCAAAAGCGTGTCGCTGATTTTGTTAGGTTGGTATAGCAGCGAGTTTTCTTATCATAGCAATAGCATGGCTTCTATAACTAGGTTGGTATAGCAGTGAGTTTTTTTATCCAATAACATGGCTTCCTTATAACTCACACCTCACGCAAACATGGCGGCTGGCGACACGCATCTTTGACATTCAGTGCTACCTCCAGTTAGTATTATAGCTCAGTGGATGAAACTGAATTTCTAATAAGTAATTTCTGTTCAAATAAATATTGAAAGAAGAACACAAAAAACGGCAGCATTCCAAATTGTACGACAGTTTTTTTTATATTTGATCAAATCCTTATATATAATACTTGAAGGCGATTTCTACGAAACACTACTCCTCCGTTAATAATGGACGGGTTTTTACAAACGATGTGTCAAAATGAAGTATATTTTGTGTAGACGCCAATTTCTGTAATAAAAGTCCTTGTATTGTATAATACATGTATTATAATAATCTATGAGTCTATACTATCAATAATATAGTAGTAGTCATTCAATAATGTAGGAGGGAAGAGAGCAGTGGTTAGAGCGCAGGATTTCAGTCCCTGAGGTCCCGGGTTCAAATCCCGCCAGGTCACCAATGGATTTTATCTAAGTGATAATGCCACAACCCCTAGGTTTAGCCTGAAGTAATGTGAAAAATAATTCCGGGCTCATACCTAGCATCTTAGGACAAAAAAAAATACCATCAACAATAATAGTCCATAAGTGTAAAATACTTGATCTTAAAACAATCAGATAACACTATCTTCGTCTTTAGAGTGGATCCTTCATCTTCAATTAATCATGATTCAAAAAGACAGTGAACTACTTAGACCTAGAATATTTATTCCAAGTAGATTATGAATGCAAGTACTGAAGAAAGGGTTGGATACGGTTTGAAGAATGTACTAGAGGAGGTTATGGTTGGATAGTCTGTGTAGCTTTGTTACTGTTTCTGTAAGCTATAGCATCTTGTATGCCACATCAATTTTTAAAGTGTGTAAAACTAGAAAGAAAATATAACAATCTGTGAGTGGCTCATTTAACTAAGTCATATTTCAGTGAAACATTGGGCACAGCTGGTCCATATAGATGGGATGTCTATTATAGATTAACCAAAAGTCAATGATTCTATCTTGGAGACCACAATAGTATTAAGTTCACTTCAAACAAAATGTAACTGAAGATTATGCTATAAACAAGCCAGCTTAAAAATGACTTTACACATATCAATACGTTCATGGATACATTTAAACTTCATCAAATAATTTTTACCATAATTTTAATTATAATTTTTTACCAGTCAAATAATTGGTGTATAATGTTTGAAGAATTACAGGGGTGGAAGGGCGAGTGAGTGTCAACGGACGTCCGAGGGATCTCGACGAGTTCCGACGAGTCTCCTGCTACATCCAGCAAGATGACCGACTGCAGCCGCTGCTCACGGTGGCTGAGAACATGCATGTGGCTGCGGAACTGAAACTGGCAAGGAGTATACCAGCGGCAGAAAAACAGAACACTGTAAGTTTAAGGTTATGATTTCTGATATTTATAGTACACTCCAGTAGATATGTGGTTGAAGGATTATGATGAGTAAATAAGGTGGGGTGGAGTTAAGGATGTTGATCAGAAGAGACTAAGACAGTTTGTGCATGTTTGCAAGTGAGAATCTTAGGAATATTGAAATGATTGTGATATAGATGGTTTAACTAAAGCCTGCAATCCCTCCCTTCACTCCCGTTTAAAGTCTGAGACTTATCTACCGTGTCACTTCTCTGAACAATCTTCTTAGTTCATCTTTGGTGCTTCTCTACAAGTGCTCTGCCCACCAATACCAATACATCTAAAGGTGACTGAGGGAGGGAGACCTAGAAGGCGGATAGATGAGATGAAGAGGAATTGAGGGAAGCAATAAGATGGCAGAAGGAGGAAGAGAAAGCACTCTGAAGCATGCAACAGAATGCATAATTGCTTACATGAAACTTAAGTGCCCAGAGACTTTGTGTGCCTCTGCACAATCAATAGATAGATATATTGTACGGCTTTAGGCAGTGTTCGATTTGTAAAAAATGAAGTGCCGGAACTGTATCCTATTCAATGTGGTTTGTACAGATTGATGTACCAATTTATGCCAATATTTTTAACTTTACGAAAGAGAGGTACCGGACCTCCATTCCGCCATGTTCTCCCGCAAATCTAGCACTGGCTTTAGGCATACTAACGGACTGAGGGAACACAGCCATTTCCTATTTTGTTTCATGTTTCTACTGAGACTCATCTAATCATTCAACTCTCTCAGTTTAGTTATACAGTCTGCTTAGAATAATTCATGTCACAGATAATTACAGGAAAACCTGCTGTATTATTACGCTCAACAAATGAATAAATCATTTGCAATAAATCTTAGCAAACATACCCTGAGTGAAAATAGTTCAGTACAAGTATTGACTTAAAATGCTGAAGTCAATATGTAATGTAAAGATGTACATTATATGAGAATATCAATTAGCACTTTCTTTTTAATAAGAGAACATATAGCTGATGAATGAGCCACATAGAGTGCATCTCTAATGTTTCATTTTCTTCATTAGTAATTTTACTTTGATAATTGGTTCGGAGGGAACATGAGATACATTGTTGTTTACAATAAATTATTTGTCCCTTCAGTGTTAATAACATTAGATTTCATGAGTTCCTCAGTTTGCTACTAGCTGCTACAAGGAAGGAAAGGTGTTCTTTTGGTAAAATTTTAATATAGGATAAAATAAACAAGCTTGCTTAATATACCCATAAACAAGCAAACTACAACAGTTTACTTTTCATTATAAGAATAAACCCTAAAAATAAACTAAACATTCAAATTTTTAATGCAGTTTTTTTTTAATTTTCCCCATAACTTATAACTCTACAACGCTTCAAAATACAAATAATTTACTTTTTTTCTCTTATGATGATTTCAATAAAACTTGAGCATTTTATGTTTTAAAGATAGGTACAAATTTGAAAAAAAGTTTTCACCCTGTTCTTATGACCTGATCTTGCAAGTTCGCAAACTCATTCAAGTGTATCCACTATCCCTACACATTACTGTAATGATAAATTTAGTTAAAATCTGATCTAAATTCATCGAGTTATATACCGTCACTTTTGTCACTTTGAGCAGTCATCTCAACAATTATTAAGACTTTCCACTGGATTAATAATTTACAGTCTATTATATTGTGACTCTTGGTGGTTTTGGGAGCTTTCCCTCATCCCTTCCTTTCACTCTATATAAGTATTGATCGAAACCAGAACTTTCAAACCTTAACACTGAATCAAAAAAAAAAACTTTAAAATTGAATACCGAATCACAAAACCTAAATGAAAAACGTTTTACTTGCCTTGAAGGTTACAAAAATACAGGTAATAATCATATGTTTATTATCATTTACTATACACAGAAATAAGTTTCGATCCATACTGGCAGCATAATATAAAAATCCACTCATTCCAATACTCTTCCAGGGTGAAAAAAAATTTACAGTTATTTGGCACGCAAAGCAGTCCTTTGCCGTGGGCATCTTGACAGAGAATGACTGATAGTAACAGACAGTGAAGCATCTTAACTCACTGACATTTTGGATCATCAGCTCGGCTCTCCTACCCTCAGGCTCTCTTATTAGTGGTGATGTTTTTACCTATCTCCGATGACATCTGAAATGGCACGGCCGCGGCCGCCGGCTGAATAGGCTGCATCTGTAAAGACAAATCTGAATGAATAATAGCTGTAAATCCTTAAGGTTTTACAGTCAACGATAATAGTAATCGTTGCATCAACAGCTTCTGGGAGATTTATGCTGCTTAAGAGAAATATGCTTTATTCAACTAGCACTAATGTTGGAAGAAAATTGCTTTTTAGTTCAATTCAAACACTTTTAAAATGTTAATTGGCTAACCAGGAAAGACAATGCGGATTGTAAATTTGGCAACTGAATAAAGTAGTTTATAGTTTGTTACTTTGAAGGAAACATAATCACTTTAGAAATGGCAATACAATTTATGTTATAAATTAAATACAGTAGAGCACCGATTAACTGAATGCCGGTTATCCAAAATGTAGGTTAACCATAAACGGTGAATTCAAATTTACCCATAAGCCAACATTACGAGAGCGGCCAGCAGGAGCATACACGGCACAACGCTTTGCGCAAAACTCAGCCATAACAGTGATTGTGCTTTCACCTAGGCTCTACATGTATAGACATAACCTCACTTCGTTTTTCAGTGACATCAGTGATCCTTGCTTGCACAAAGTGTGTCACTGAAGTGTGGTTTGTAGCTCAAATTATACACTTAATGGTAAGACTGAGGGAGTCTGATTCTGTGTATAGTCAATGTTTTTATCCAATCAAAATTGAAATACATTGAACTCCTGACCCTCACATGTGTGTCTAATAAACTTTAAACCTAAAATAAACAACCAACTAAGATAAATTAAAATCCTGACATAGACATAAAAAATATCAATGATATTAAAAGTTAAACTCATTTTTAAAGTTTTGAATCTTGAAATTAACTTGCCAATCAAATCTCAAACCAAAAACTTTTCCAAAGTTTTGGTGATTTTATTTAGTTTTGTTTTAGAATTCCGTTTTGACACGTCGCAACTCCATGTACTAATTGACCCAATCTATCTTCATGAAATGAACCTTAGATAGAACATATAAAAACACAAATTGATGTTTAGTAATAACATAGGTTTTAAAGCGGAAAAGTATATTATTTCACTTTTTAACAAAAAGATAGATTGCAGATATCCTGGGCACCTTGGGCCTGACAGATGCAGCGAACACACAAGCTAAAAGACTGTCAGGGGGACAGAAGAAGCGACTGTCTATAGCCTTGGAGCTCATCAACAACCCTGTAGTCATGTTCCTGGACGAACCCACCACGTGAGTAACACACTTTGTTATTGGCTTTAGATCGTTCAGATTGTTTGAAAAAAAAGTTGGTAAATACAACAGGAATCAGCAATTTACATTAGCCTCTTCCTCCTTGATCAAGGGAATCAGCTGACTACTTACGGTTCTATCCATAGTCATACTATTTACATAGACCAACTACTTTTTACTATGAGAGTTAGAAGACGTTTAATTCTTGGTCTGAGGCATGGTTTGAGCTGTAGCCAGATGAGGAATGGAAATAAACATAGTTTAATTGAGTCCCCAACAGATTTGTGTGCTGTTAATAGTTGAACATTGAACTACTTGTAAGGAATCAAAGTTTAACAATAATCTCCGATTCCTTATGTCGTAACCTAAACGTTACGCTAGAAAAGTGGACAATAATTATGAGAGAACCACATACGATCGTTGGTGGACATATAATGACTTCTACTACACCTTACAAGTAGTTCAATGTCATGTTTCATGTTATTTTTACTTTGTAAGCGAATGTTAAATATTATTTTATATTTTAAGGGAAAATTGGCTAAATTTCTGGGTGTTTGATGCTTACGGAACTTAATCCAACCATCTATTTGATATTTTTAGTGGCCTGGACAGTTCATCGTGCTCTCAATGTGTCTCACTACTCAAGCTGCTGGCAGTTCAAGGCAGGACCATCATCTGCACCATCCACCAGCCCAGTGCAGCGTTGTTCCAGAAGTTTGACTTTGTCTACGTGCTAGCAGAGGGTCGATGTTTGTACCAAGGAGCTACAAGAAACATGGTCCCGTATCTGCTGTCAGAAGGACTACCTTGTCCAAAATACCACAACCCTGCTGACTATGGTAGGTAGTAAAATAATATTATGTAGTACAAGTAGGTGCAATAGTACCATAGGTGGATTTTTTTCAGGCAAGGGCAAACCAATGTGTTGTTCCTGGGCCAGATAAAAAGGCCCACCTCCATAGACAAGTTAATGGAAAATATGCTCCAAAACACAATTGATAGCTGTCTAAAAGTTGGAATTATCTCTTTTTAAAGATGTTTAAAATATACCTTACTTCTTTGTCGTTACAATCCGCCTAAAACCTTACTGAGCATAGTGGATTTTAAATTTGATTTTCTCAGTTGAAGCCATGACTCCACTTTCCCCACTGTGGGTACCCATGAATACCAGTTTACTTTTGAATGTATTAGGATGGCAAGTAGGGCGTAATGCAAAAAGAAAAACTACTCTCGACTTTTAACACTGTAAGGTTAACATTCAATACAATGAAGTTAACACTGTAAGTATACTCCTCATTATTTTTTATGTTACTGTTTTTAAAACAAAAATTTTTTTTTCTTTCAGTTATCGAATTGGCATGCGCAGAACACGGTGAAGACAAAATAGAAAAACTTGTCAAAGCAACACAAAACGGGAAATCATTAGAGTGGTTTGAAAATGCAGAAGAAATAGCAACAGATGTGCCATACAGTAAGTAATTTGAATTCTGTTTCTGTAATATGTACTAACCACCTAAGCTACTATATTTTTATAAAAGAAACCTGTAAAAAAGTAAGATAACTTTTGCAGAATGAACTGCGATCAAGCAGCATTTTACAATGAATATTTAACAAGATTCACAATTGGTTTGGCAAAATAATTTAACTTTAATAAACCTAACTCTAAAACCAGGGATGTTTTACCAAGGAGTTATTATAAATATTAATTTTAGAATCATTTTACACAGACGTTTCACAAGAGTTGCAATCGTTAGTGTTTCCTATTAAAGCGAAAGAACGTATAATCTATCTACCTAATGAAACCTTTATTCTTACTTTTTTTTTATAAAAACCGCTTACTGGTACTTTGACAATACAATGCCCATGAAATGCCTGTTTATAATAAACCCTACATGAGTTAATTTGCTTGAAGTACACAAACTCTGAAACAGTAAATCAATAAATTGGTGGTATTTATCTTTTGATGTTGCAGCTGAAAAGAAGGGTATTCAGCTACCTCTGAAGAAATGTGTGGGAGGACTTCAAGAAACCTCAATAACTAATCAAGTGTGCGTTCTTGTCAAAAGAGGCCTCATCAAGATCAAGAGAGATAAGGTAAAATATATGTTTTATGAAATAGAAAGGTGTAAATTGTTAATTGTTGTTAACTGTAACCTGTAACCCAGACAAACACTATATCTGGATAGAATGAATTGTTATAGTTACTATTCAGTGTGAGAATCAGGCTAATGGGTCATCCACTAGATGGAAAAGTCAGAGCTGTAACAGGAACTTTGCTTTTGTATGTACATAAATATACGAAACAGCTCTGAAGCCAATCACAATGAATAATTTGATTATTTTCCAATTAGTTTATCCAGGCTTCTTTTACCTAGCCTAAGAGAGATTTTGACATGTGTCAATTGTATACACTTTATTCTAATGAGTATAGGGTAGGTGAGCTGGTCTAGCGATGGAGTGCAGGACTTCGATCTTTAAGGTCCCGGGTTCAAATCCTGCCAAGCCCAATAATTCTATGTAAGCGATAATGCCTCAACCCCGTCAATGCTTAGCCTGAAGTAATGTGAGCTAGAACGTCAAAATACAAATTTTAACAAGTACAACTTGATTTGCAGACGCTGACTCACATGCGGATCATCGTAAACATCCTGACAGGAATCATGCTTGGTATGTTATGGCTGCAGGTTGGGGACAAAGGCTCTCAAGTACTAGACAACTACAACCTGCTCTTCTCAATACTCATGCATCACGTCATGAGCACCATGATGCTGGCCATCCTCACGTGTGAGTTGCTCACACATTACTTTATTACTGGAGAGATTTATTGTACCATTAAGTAATAAATACAATAGGTAACGTCAAAAACTATGCTAAAATAAACAAACCAATGCATATAAATAATGAAATGATTCACCATTACAAACCATGCTGAAATTGGTTAATTAATCTTCACAGCAAACCATGCAGTTGTGGCAAAAAACAAAAGAAAATGAAAGTTGTGACACATACCTGAGTATAAAAATAAAATACTTGGATAAAAGTAAAGTAATGTTTCCAAATATGGGATGTAGAAGCATTTTCTATGTACACTTAATTTTCCTCATGATTGCATTGAACTTAAGTTGTTGCTTGTCTATCGTTTTATCTTTTATCCCTTTTTATCATCAGAGCAGACTATTAATATTGATATTCTCAAATTAGTGAAGATACACATGAGTGTTAAAACACTTCAGTTTTAACATTTCAAAATTTAATAATATTTCTGATAGCCACTGGACTAAGTATATATGACTTTTTTAAGTTTTTAGGCTCCGTCAGTAGTCCAAATTACGATATATTTCAATAATTTACAGTTTGACATGCTTTGTTGCAACATCTTCAAATCTCGCAACAAATCAAAACATCAAAATTTAACACTAAACAGTACATTACACCATTACACACAAGACATTTAAACACAGGAAACGACACAAAACTTGATGGTGATGAAAACAGCGGCGTTTGAAGGTAGAACAGAACATTTATTTATAGTTAGTTTAAATATTTGTATGTTTCTGTTCTAGTTCCAATGGAGATGTCAATTCTGACAAAAGAACACTTCAACAGATGGTATTCACTCAAATCATTCTTCATATCTGTCAATATAATTGACTTTCCTGTTCCTGTAAGTATATGTATTTTTGATTCTCTACTGAATTACATGAAAATTAGTCAATACTAATTTTCATGTAATTCAGTAGAGAATACAAATGCAATACAAATGTCAATACAAATGTTGTAAAAATGGTTACTTAAATTTACCAGTAAAAAATGCCTAGAGGTCCCAACATATTGTCAGCTATTAAAAAGTTAAAGAAAATGGCATACTGGAAATTTAAAAAATAAGGAATGCTTTTGCTGGATAAAAAATAATAATGAATGCTTTTACTAGCAGCAAATTTGTTTTGTGAGGCAAATGACATAGCTAGGATATCACAGGCGTGACAGTTCAACCTCTACAATTCATTGAAAAGGAATATTATTAGCAACACCAAGGGAACACATTTAAATTTCCTTTGCAAATGAATGATTCCTTACTATGTTAAATATGAACATTGATTTAAACCAAATTAATTAGTTCTTGGTGGGATCCAGAAACCTTTTACCATGGCCTAAGTAAACTAAATTGCAAAAGTTAATCAATATGATTAAATATGTATTTTTGAGTGAAGAAACCCATAAATATGATGAACAGTTATGGTAAGGTTAAGCTATGAGCTGGAATGAGACGAGTACAAAATATGAGTTCTCCACACTTGTGATCAGCAGGTATTTCTGTGATGAAAGCAAACAACAGGTTGTTCCCCAAACAGTTTATCGTTACCGTACATCTCATTTTACAGTAATACTAAACTAGTTAGGCCTATCTACGAAACAAATTTTCTGTTGTTATAAACATGAATGTAACCAGGATATATTTTGGCAGGTGATCTCATGTGTGATATTTTCTGCAATTATCTACGTAATGAGCGGCCAGCCTCTCGACCCAACGAGGTTTACGATGTTTACCTTCATCAGTTTGCTGGTAGTCTTCATAGCACAAAGTATTGGCTTCATGGTGGGAGCCATCTTCAGCGTAGTGGTAAGACTTTGTTTTTCAATCAGCATAGTTATACTAATTTCAATATTATAACCTCAATAGCCTGTCACCATAGACTACTGAATAGGATACTGGTCTGTGTGAAGATCTAAATGCCTGTGTACAACGGCGTCACCAGACATCTTACCACCTCTTTGGTGGACGTCGCCTGTACACTGTTACACCGAAGCTGTGTCTAGGTGATTCTGTATTTACTATGCCATGGATGGAGACTGGATAGGGATAGCAGTTATAGTGATGACAACTGGTTACTATTTAGACCAAGACACTACCTCTAAGTAATAAAGTTTGGCCAACTAAATGGATTGGCGTAGATTGGTAAAAAATTATTATCATATAACGTGTACTTGGCAAAAAGTTCACTAGAGCACTGCACTTAATCACTTTTTCAGAACGGGACATTTGTCGGGCCAGTTCTGGTGGTGCCGATGATGATGTTTTCCGGCTTTGGCCTCAGGATACAAGACATCCCCTTCTACCTGAAGTGGGGTTCTGATTTGAGCTACCTCCGCTACAGTCTGGAGGGTTACATCGCAGCCATCTACGACGGCCGAGACATGCTGCCCTGCCCTGACTTCTACTGCCACTATAGATACATCAAGAAGTTCTTACTGGACGTAGGGTTCACAGATGATCAGTTCTGGAATGACATCCTAGCTTTGTCTATGATGTTGTTCCTAGTGAAAGTCGCTGCCTATGTTTTGCTCAGGTGGAAAATCCGATCCATGAGATGAGAATTTGTATATTTATTTATAACACAAAATTTCCATAAGGCCTATTAGTTCACTAGTGTTGCCAACGCTAGCGTTGGGTAAGAATTAGGTTTAGAGTACTTAATCACTTAAAACTTTTTTCAGGCAGTGACACACAAGTGTATTTTAAGCTGTAATTGAATTTAGGGTAGACGTCGAATAAATAAAGACAATCCTGTGTTTTTTACTAAGACAAAAAAAGACTTTAACCAGTAAATACTCCATGATATTTACATTCTTACTCTTTCTAAGAAACGTTAGCATTGGCAATATCTTACAAAATGGTCCTAAGGTCCTACAATGCCATTATTGGGAGATGGATTCTTTGGATTGTTGAATAGGTAATTGAGCTCTTCATGACACTATCTGAAGATAGTTAAGAATTGGGATACATTTACCTACTTTTGAAACTGTTTTATTGCTCAATCACCAAGGTGTCATTCAACTGAATACGGAATGTGCAGTAGACTTCCTCTATGTCCAATCTTTTAGGTCTGGACTTTAGTTTTTAGTTTGGCCAAGATGGTACATACAAAATAATAACCATTTAGTCTAAAACCATTAAAACATCGATGGTTTTAAAAATACTGTGGAAACAACCTTTTAGCCAAAGGTATTGAAAAACAAGAGATTTTAAAATTGTTAATAACTATATCCATATTACTTCAGGATTGGAGAAAGTATAAAATCTAGGTTTTGGTAACTAAAAAACATAATAATTTATCAAGTTGCAAGCCCTGTTAAACATCCATGTTCATCTTTCAGTTTAGTTGCGGTTTTAACGTTTGTGTTATAGTAATGCAAATATAACAACAGTTTATTGATTTTTGTCACTATTCGTGTGGTTTTGAAACGTATTTCATTTTTGCATTAACTTCTGGTACATACACTTTTAGTTATGTCAAGGTTTTAGCCCCAAGAACATGAGGAATTCTACTGAAACATGAAATAAAACATTCCAATATATCTTGTAAGTTAGTTGTGTTAAGGTTCCTTATATTGTGTAAACATATTGTCAAATGTGTATATTTATATATAGTTTAGTTGATTAAGTTACCGCACTGAAACTACTGTAACATTCGTTGAATAGCTACGGTAAATAAAATCATGCTCTTATACTACTGGATACAAAATTTTTATAGTAAAAATTATTTTTTGGCTCATAAAAAGGTTATCCTAGTAGCACAAATATGTGTTTTATAAATATTTTATATATTTAAAGTTGTATTTGATAGAACCTCGAATAAAATATATATATAATATATCTTTAATAATAATTTGATATATTCAAATATATATTTAAAATATTACCAAAAAGCAATGCAAAATATAAATTAAATATAAGTTTTGAATATATAAAATAGATTCAAAATATATTTTGATAAAACAAGTATAGAATCTATAATATACATATTTTATATGTATATTTTTCCTATTAAATATTTAAAAAATTATGTGTTGAGAATATTTTAAATATATACAGGGTGATCAACTCAAGGAGGCCACCATTGGGATATCGGAAACGGTAAGAATTAGAGAAAACTTAACATTTTCCAAAATGGCGGCCAACTTTGAAATTTCTTATGGAACACCCTATATTTTATCATGCTTTCGGATAGAACAGGCAATTTAAAAACTTTTTTATTCTTGACATTTTTTCGATAAACCTACTCGTTTAGGAGTTACAGCCTATGGAAAAATTACTTCCGGTGTACATTTTACATCCTGTAGCTCCTAAACAAGTAGGTTTATAGCGAAAATGCGATGAGTAAATAGGTCAAAGAAGTCTTAATATTGCATCCACATTCCATAAAGACCATAAAATACACAGTTTTCCACTTTTCAAGTTTGCCGCCATTTTAGAAAATGGCCGCCATTTTTAAAATAATAGAATTAATAGTTTTAACGAATTTTATGGTCTTTTTGGAATGTGGATGCAATTTTAAGACTTATTTGACTTATTTACTTTTCGAATTTTCGCTATAAACCTACTTGTTTAGGAGCTACAGGATGTAAAATGTACACCGGAAGTAATTTTTCCATAGGCTGTAACTCCTAAACGAGTGGGTTTATCGAAAAAATGTCAAAAATAAAAAAGTTTTTAAATTGCCTGTTCTACCCGAAAGCATGATAAAATATAGGGTGTTCCATAAGAAATTTCAAAGTTGGCCGCCATTTTGGAAAATGGCGGCTGAATTTCGAAAAAATAAAATCATATTTTTAACTGCCACAAAAAATAAAGGAATGTCCCCCATTTTAGGTTTTCTCTAATTCTTACCGTTTCCGATATCCCAATGGTGGCCTCCTTGAGTTGATCACCCTGTATATAAAATATTTTTGAAACTATATTATATATTTAAATTATTTATAAATATATTTTGAAACACGTCAGATATTTTTATTAATAAAATAATATTATATTTGTAGAAAATATAGCCTATAATCTTTTATAATTAGCAAATAAATAATTTGCATCTTTTTGTTTTTTATAGTGTCAATCAATTTATACATGCATTTTTTGTATGATAATTGCTATTGTGAAAGCGTTAAAATTAAGTTAATAATAATACGTACTCTGAATGGTGTCACTCTATCATACACTTAAAGAAAAAAATTGCATATAGTTAAGAGGCAGTATACATGTTCGACAGCTACATTTGGGTCAAACGAAAAAAAGTGTTGATGGGTTTTATTTTTTTAATTGCAATATGTGACAATGAATGTGGTCATAGAAATCTCGAATGATTGGCTAGAAAAGGGTGCTAGTGACTGGCGACCTTTTAACAAACTAATTACGGTTGTATATGACGTTCTAAAAATAATCATTTGATTGACATATGCCATAAATTACATAATATTTGTCATAGTATTTAAATTAATTTTTGTAGTTTACTGTATTTGTATTCGTGGAGACTACTCACTATTCACTACAGCACTATTCAACTCAACTACTTGATGCCAAAACAGATTAACAGAATCATATTATACTGTAGTATCAAAAATATTTCAAGTATTGCAACCATTGCAACTGAGGGCCTCTCTTTCACCATTTGAAAACTAATGCTTACAACAGTCACAAGTAGCTCAGAGGTAAGGTAGGAGGCTCATAAGTCGATAGGACCCAGATTCGAAACCCACCCAGGCTAAAAAATTTTATCCAGTAATTTTTTCAAAATTTGTTTTTATGAACTATTTAATCAATTTACTCAACTGATAATTGTGTTTTTCATACTAAATCTTTATTATTTTGTGTTTTTATGTTTAGGCCCCATGGGATGTTTGGAAGAGATATTAAATAAATTTTTTATTTAAATATTATTCACTAAAATATAATATTGGAACATATTTTTTTTATATTTAATAGGTTCAAAAACATATTTTTTATATATTTAATATATTTTAAATATTATATAAAATTGACATTAATACACACTTGAGATATATAAAATAGATTTTGAATATATTTATTCATATGTATTTAATATATATTTGTGCTACTAGGGATTACAAACTAATCTTATGATTAACCATTAGCATATTAGGATGTATATGTTTTTTTACAATTTCTTTTCAGAATACTGACTAGTGGAAAAATAAGTGAAGTCGTCTGTTCTACTTGATATAAATTATTAAATTATTTTGATCTCACTACTTTCCATCCCTTTCACTCGATACTAAGTTTGGATGCTTTACCATTATGTTAATGTAAAGGTTTTCAGACATGTATACAATGTATTGTATTGTATATTTATTTACATGTAAATTTGGGAGATGTACATATAAATTATGTACCGTAATTCTTAAAAGTTTTATAAATAGTTTATGACTATACTTTTGTTATATGAATAAATGTTATTTAATTTTAAAATTGTCAAATTATTTCCTACCATTTTTTGCTATAGTTTAATTTTGGTGCATACCATTCATAAAAATTACATTTAAAAAATGATATATTCAATAAATAAAAAGTGTAAAAGAAATAAAATAATCTTAACGGCTATGATTTAATTTGCTGGAGTTCTTCAACGCAAATTATTTCTGCTCTTTTAAATAATGGACTTTTCATAGATGAACCTAACATGAGGTTTTAACCTTAAAGAAATTATTATAAACGTCTTTTTACTCCACACTTAAGAAATTTCAACTTTTTACTTTTTTAAATAAAATAAATATATTCCTTATTTGTCCTTATGTTTTCACTGCAATTTGAATAGTGGCATGTCAAGAAGATAATTTATACCAAAATTTTCATTTTTCATTTTCCATTTTAAAAGTTACACATAAAATATATTTATAACTAAAAATTAAAAAAATGATAAAGAAACAAACAGAATGTGTGATATCAATATATTTTTAAGAACAAATAACTTAACATAGAATATAAATTGCATAATTAGATAAATACAACTTTACAAAATTGTCAGTTTTTAAAAAAACACTTTTAATATTTATTTTCAGTCAATAGTGATGGGGAGCACCAATTTGTGGTAATATTTGCTAGTAGCTGGAACGGTCTACTTTTAAAGTAGTTGCAGCGAATCATACAACTTCGGTATGAGTCACTTTAAGGTAATTTGTCAGGATGATATATCTTTCATCCATGCAGCATGATATTTACATGATTTTTACTATTTAGTGCCACTTACTTCATTAGTGCCACTTCTTTAAGTAGCTTCCTCATTAGCTGACGTACACTGTTGTCTAAACTTTTTGACTATTGTCTTTGGATCGGAGTTGGCATAACTTTATTTTCAAGAGCACAGATTATGTTTTCAGCTGCCAATACTGCCATTTTCTCTCTAGCTTGAAAAGTTGCACTTGATATGTGAGGTGTAACCACTGAAAAATGATTCCAATGGTTAAAGGTGTCTAAACCGGTGCACGGTAAGAATTTCTTTACAACATTATACTGAGTACCACTAAATTTAAAGAAAAGTTTATCAGCAGTTAGAAAATTTGAAGTAACAATAAATGTAAGTTTTTAAATCATATTTTCTTTGGTACGAGTCTTGGTATACTCAGGCTTATTTAACACATTTACAAAATGTCAGGTTTCAATAAGTCAAACAAAACTAAAAAAAGTTAATCACACTTCTTATCAATCTTCCTATCCCATCATTTTAAAACCTCCAGCTTTGTTCTGAAATTAGGTGGCAAATAAATTTTATAGGATTCCTGATTTTTTAGGATTCTAGCCAATAGAAACCAAGAGAAACTTTTCACAATTGACAACCAAAAGACTGAAATCTACAATGACAGCTTCTTTTTATTGTACAAAAACAAACTCTGCATTGTACAGTAACAACTCAAAGAACTCTAAAGCAGTGTAACATCCTTATTTTGTATGGTATCTATCTACTCACCAACGTTATCAAATTTCAACAGTTTGTGATCAACTGGTAAGGGTTCAGGTTGGGTAACATCCAATCCTGCTCCACCAATTTCTTTGTTTTCAAGGGCCATCACCAGATCATCCTGATTTATGACATCTGTTTGGAAAGTAACAAAAACCATATATTTTTTTAATTCATCTAGATAGTGCAGATAACTAATCTAAGACTCCCTGTTAACATTAAAATAAAAACTTTCTCATTGCTGTGAGGCAGTTCATTAAACATTAGCTCATTTTACAGTCAAATCATTCTGACTGAATGAAATGAACTCATGAAATCTGCTCTTGCTACTGTATTTGAATTGCCTTGGATGAACAAGCATCGTGATGTATATATAAATAACTAGCTGTCCCGACAGACGTCGTCCTGTCCTATGCTTTTATGTCAAATGCTTGTTCATTTTCAAGATCCTGGTTGAAGTTCGTTCGCTACGCTCACTCACCTTTAGGTTGGAGCTCGTTCGCTGTGCTCACTTGCCTTCAGGTTGAAGTTCGTTCGCTACGCTCACTCACCTTTTGGTTGGAAATTAGCTGTTGTCATAAATTTAAAAAATATAATTGTGCTGCACCCTGTTGGTAAACTTATTAACTTTTAATGCTATTGAACATCACAGAATCAAATTGCTTAGTTAAACCAGCTGTTAATTTTCTTTAATTCCATTTAAATATGAGTACTCATAAGGTTAACATGGGAAACTCTAGAGCCACTGGGGCGGAGCCCTTTTGACGGATCTGCACCAAACTTTACACAAACCATCATTGAATAATGCTTAATAATGCCTGAAAGTTTCATTACAATCTGTCGAGCGGTTTCGGAGTCCATAAAGGACAAACATACAAACAAACATACATTGGATTTTATATAGATAGATAAATATTTAAATTCAAATTCACAACCTACCACAAATATATGAAAAAGTTTGAAAATTATTAGCAGGTTATTTCTATTTAAAAGTGAATCATTTTCCGACTAAACCAAGGTTCACCAGATCAATTCAGTGTAAAGGATCACAACATTTTTAATACTTAAAATCCTTTACACAATCCCTTAAAAAAATAATAAAAATGAAATGAACTGCTTTATTGTCGTTAAAACTAAGTACAAAGTTCATGACAATCGTCAAAAGAAAAAGAAAAACAAAACAATCAAGATGGCAACTAAAATAACTAAAACTAAAACTCTAAACCAAAGTTTCATGTTTATACAGGCAAGCTTGGGTTAGAGTAGTTTTTAAAACTTGTTTAAATTTTGAAACACACAGGTTTTTGATGGATTCAGGCAAGAAATTGTACATTTTAACACCTTGGTACTCAAAACTATTTTGAGTGGCTGTATACTTATGCCTTAGTGTAGACAGATTATCTTTAGATCTAGTACAATAGTTGTAAACATCAGATATCTTTTCAAAGTGAGAAATGTTTTCTTTTACAGACAATAAACTTGCCAAAACATACAAGGATGGAAATGTGAGAATGTTAAGACCCACGAAAAGGGGCTTACAATGTGTTCTTCTATTCACACTACAAATTAACCTCACCGCCTTCTTTTGTAAAGTAAAAAGCAACCTGTTAGCATAAAAACTGTTGGCCCACAATGAGGTACCATAGGACAAATAGCTATGAATGAGGCCATAATTTATACAAATAAAGACATAATCTGAAACAGTGGACCTAAGTGCTCTTATCATAAATATGCCTTTTACAATTTTAGATCCTACAAAATCTACATGTGAAAACCACTTCAAGTTTGACTGCAAATGAAAACCCAAAAATTTCAGAGTGTTTACATCATTACCGTTACTGCTAAGACTAATAGTCAGGTCCTGAGTCTTATCAGCATTAAGACACAACTTGTTTGCATTACACCAGTCATTAATAACAGCAGATTTTGTGTCCAATGTGTCAGTAACGTCATTCAAAGAGTTACCCCGTACACACAAGGCCAAGTCATCAGCAAAAAGAAAGCTTTTTACAAATAAGTCATTATTATTATATTAATATAGTTATTAATACAAGGTAAGTCATTTATATACAGTATAAACAGGGTAGGGCCCAATATAGAGCCTTGGGGCACTCCGTGGGGCACTCCACTCGAATAGGGCTAGAATAAGTGCCATTTAGGTAGACTTTTTGCCATCTGTCTCTAAGATAAGATTGAAAAAACCTAACCAAACAAAACAGCATCAAGGTTATAGCAAGAAAGCTTATTCACAAGGAGATGATGAGCAACTGTGTCAAAGGCCTTAGACATGTCGGACGATCTAAACACTATACCACTTTTGGCCTCTAAACTTTGAAAGCAATTTGATATCAGTGCCTAATAATAATAAATAAAATAATAATAAATAATAGTAATAATAAATAATAATAATAATAATAAAAATGATAATTTATGTTAAAGGTTATTAATAAGGGTAAAATTACCTTAATTTTTATTCCAATAAAAAATACCATTAAACAAGTAATAAAAATAAAACAATTTAATGAAAAGATTTCCTGTTTCATAAAAAAAATTAACTTTAAGTTTATTATTTCAAATATTTTTATTATTTGTTAATATTAATCAAACGTGTTAATATTTCAATCATAGAAAGGGCTGTAAAGTTTACCTCCTCTTGCAGAATTGATGAGGATGGCTGTGTTTTTCATCTTCTTAAACGCATTCTTATCAATAAGACCTTTACTGTCCTTGTTTGAAGGGACAGTGAGGAATATAAAGTCACTCTTCTTCAAAAGTTCATCCAATGAAGTGTAGCACGCACCGTTCGCTTCGTCTGTTTGGATAGTAAATGAAATTAGAAAAAAGTATAAAATGCTCTAATGAAACAAATTTACATTAATAATTGTAAATTAATTACCAATTGTAATTTAATTGTTAATTGTAATTTATACCAGTTTATATATTGCTATTTTTATGAAATGAATATATTAGTGAGTTAAACTTCCCCTTGACAATACACCAAGACTTTTTTTGCATTTTGAACACAAACATGCCGAAGTACGTGACACACCAAATATGGAATTTTCTGATAATACAGGGAGCGGCAGAAATATCTGACGGTTTTCAAGCGAGTACCGTCCGGCAGCCAAGTGGAGGAGGGTGGTGGGGAGCGGCTCATTCTCAAGGCCAAGTGAGACAATTTTAGTCGCCATAGAGCAGTGGACCGGTATACATCGCGCGTTTGTCGTTGAGGCGTATTTTAAAAATGGCGATTTTGTTGTTGATAGCAACGTAAGTTTCGTAGGCATTTTAATGTGGCTCGTGGGGAACCTATCCCATCCCGAAACACAATCGGATACCTTTAGATCCACAGGATCAACTGCAAAACGTAGGCCTACAGGCCGTCCAAGGTCAGTGAGGACGCCGGAGAACGTGGAGCGAGTGCGACAAACTGTGCTAACGAGCCCGCATCGCCCAGCGCGTGGACAAGCTGCTGCTCATGGCATGTCTGAGCGCTCTACTCGACAAATTTTGCACTCAGACCTTCACTTTCACCCATATAAAATAGCAATCGTCCAACAACTTCAGCAAAATTTGTCGAATAGAGCGCTCAGACATGCCATGAGCAGCAGCTTGTCCACGCGCCGGGCGATGCGGGCTCGTTAGCACAGTTTGTCGCACTCGCTCCACGTTCTCCGGCGTCCTCACTGACCTTGGACGGCCTGTAGGCCTACGTTTTGCAGTTGATCCTGTGGATCTAAAGGTATCCGATTGTGTTTCGGGATGGGATAGGTTCCCCACGAGCCACATTAAAATGCCTACGAAACTTACGTTGCTATCAACAACAAAATCACCATTTTTAAAATACGCCTCAACGACAAACGCGCGATGTATACCGGTCCACTGCTCTATGGCAACTAAAATTGTCTCACTTGGCCTTGAGAATGAGCCGCTCCCCACCACCCTCCTCCACTTGGCTGCCGGACGGTACTCGCTTGAAAACCGTCAGATATTTCTGCCGCTCCCTGTACTAAAGCCTCTTACCCTTGTTTTTCTCCCTGCGGTTATAGTAAAGGACTTCCTTGACATCAAAAGCTTTTACTCTTTGTAAGATTTTTGAGCCAATAGCACCAAGGCCCACAATTCCTACAGTAGCATTTTCCAAGGTTGGACCACACATCCATGTGGGATGAACTCCAATCCACTTCCCCCTGTGGAAACAATTACATAATAAGTTTCAATTAACTGTTCATCAAACTTAAACTTAATCATGATGGACAGGGATTTAGAGTATAGTCTATGATTTAGATCATCAAGATACTCCATATTACTTTCAGATTGATCCAAAAGCTAAATATTTTGAACTCAATAGATTGTTTAATGATTTAACTATACCTATTTGCAGTCATCGATTCGTAAAAAACGTGGTGCCGGAACTGTAACTTATTTAATGTGATTAGTAATATGAATTTAGTAATGTGAATTTGTATTCATGCCAATATTTTTTCTTTCTGAATTTCAGGTTTAGCAGTATTTGTTGAGCTACACCAGTGACCTTCTGATACTGAAGTAGACATTTCCACATAGACCAGCTGAGCCAGCCAATTGTTACTCAAACAGAATACAGTTGAATGATCCATTCATGGAGTTTGCTACTGTCAAAATCACACACTTTCCACTTTATCTTTGAGACTTATATATGACATAGAATATGTAATTTCTCAAAACAAGTTGTTCTTTCACAACAACACAATTTATTAGTTGGGCTTAGTTCGACAACAGGAATAAGTTCCGGTAACTGACATAAGCACACTCTATCAGTGACTTAATTAAAATATATTTTATTTTTATTCTGAAACTAACCATTACCGTACTTCAACATGGAAATTGGGCTTCTACTTTTATTTTACTCATAATGGAGGTTTCAACGTTTCAACATACTGAGAATCAAGATCCCACTCACTCAATTCAAGAGAGAAAACATTTTGGCATGATATACAATTTAGTAAAATGGTTTTATTTTTTATTTTTAACAAAACTTATCAACTTAAACAACCATTTACTTATAAGGACTCCTCACTGTTTGACGGCGGCTGCGCCAGTGACAATGTTACGTGACACTGCCAACGCCAGACCCACAGCCATGTCTGCCACCGCGCTACTGAGTACATCTGGCGTGTTGCTCACTCTGATGCTCCTCTGGTGCAGCAAACCTACGTCAATGTGGTCGTAACCAGCCCCCATACTGCCTACTACCTTCAGGCGTTCGCCTATAACATTGTAATGCAGCATGTGGTAACTCTTACTGAAAAGGTACAGATATGAAATGTGAGACTTAGGCCTACAAAGCTGACTCAGAACAGGCCCAGGAATAATAGAAAGGTTGACATTCAAAGTCAGTTTCTTTGTAATACACCAAAGAGTGTAATTTCTCAATCAAAACAATGTTTTTTTTTATGGAAATCTACAAAAGCAGTGAAAGAGGTGTTGTAGTGTATTCTGCATTGTTACTGTTGCATATAATACAAATATATCTTTTACTTTACTATTCCTTTTAATTGTATTGTTATGTTGGTATATAATGTATAAGTCTTTTTTATGTGCTTTAGAACTTCTCCAGTTTGAACATTCTTTTATCTTGTGAAATAACATTGCACAATCTTATCTGATGTAATGTCAAGCAGTCTGTAACTAACTGGGATTCATGTAGTAAATGTAATTAAGTAATTGTAAGAAGACAAAAGTTATTGGGCTCTGAAGCTAGTAGTTAACATTATTTGTTGTCTGAAGGTGTAGATTGCTTTTTGTCACAAGGTTGTTAGTGTTCCAAGTTTTACCCAAAATAAACAATGGTAGAATTATTTTAAGCATGGACTATGAAAGCCTTACTTCTTAGTTTCTTACTTATTAATGACACAATAAAATTGCCAGGAAAAATTGTTTCAAAATTAAAAATTATTTGAAGAAGCCATGACTCACCAGCAGCATCAATCATTTCTTTGTCTACTTTAACGTGTCCGAACCATAAAATGGCATCCATGTTCTGGACATCTTTCAGCAAAATTTCTCTGGGTGGCGCACTACTTTCCTTTGGCATTTGACTGATTTTCAGTTCATATCCCCTGAAATATTATGTCCATTTATTCATTTTATTATTACAATGTACTCTATATGATTTAAAATTGCAAATTCTATTTTAAATAAAATGAAAACCATTGTGTAACATTCGCATTGTTAACTTTAAGAAGATTTTTTTTTTAATATTGCCGATATTTTTTATCAGTGGTGGCAATCAAGCACGAGGCATGGAAACCCAACAATAGGTTTGCAAAAACTTAATACAATGGGTTTGTTGAAAACAATTAATTATGACAAACTATTTTTGGTTTGTTGAAATGTTATTTTACTTTTAACTTACTGAGCAAAGTATGATGGCTTGAACTGTTTTGTTAACAGTTCAATCACTTTGGGAAAAATCAATCAATTTGAGTAGAGCTTTCATATCTACGTTCAAAAGATTATACCCCACTAGAAGTAAAATATTTTCAAAGTTATAAATGTTGTAATAAACGTTTATAACATAATAGCTGTTGTACCCGTTAAATAGAAACATTTTGATGAGTATGGCAGGTGAAGGTAATGTTTTTCAATAGACCAGCTGGTATTAATCAACAGCATATTCTATTTGAGTTGACTTTTAAACTTACTTCTCTTGTAACATATTGAGAGCTTTGGCAGGGATATCTGGATGAGTAATAAGGATCCTGTACTTGCTGAAACAAATATTTTGTTAATAATTTACAATATAAAATCAGTACCGTAGGTAGTTTTGTTCTTAGACCCATAAACAAAACAAACATGCCGCCCTCATGATTTGATGAACAAACATGCCGCTGATGAAACGATGATTTGTGAGTTGATTAATTGACTTGGAAGAATAGTATATTTTGTACCGTACCTAGGGCCGAAAATGAGGTTTTGCTGGCTCAAGATTGTTTTTAATTTCGAGACAAAGTTGAGAACTTAAAACGATCGAGAGCATCAAAACCGTTTCGGTCCGTGGTACGAATGCTATTTTTCACCACACTATAACCTATTACCACGATTTACCACAGTAGTAATGTACACTAACAGTCAACACAGCTACAACAGGTTATGTGAAGAAATAATTTGAGGAATCTGCAAAAATAATAATAAACCGTTGCTATAGGCAGCGGTGAAAAAAAAACAATTCTATTACAATGCTATGGATACAGCTTGTGTATTTAATACTAGCTGTGTAACCGTTCTAAGCACGGGGATTTTGTAGTAGCCTATCCAGTTGAAACCTTTTTACATTAAGAACAACAGTTGGTTTGCATATTTGCAGATATGCTGACAAAGCTATTAAACCAATATTCACAGCTGTAGTGACCTACCACAGGCCCTTTATGTGATAAATGGTAGCAAAAAAACTATGAAAGGGTTAAGAATTTTCTAAACAAATTATTTGACAATAATAGGCTAAGTCTTTGGACGCTACTTTTAACAGTTTTTGCAAATTTTACAGATTGACCTGATTGTAATTACAAAACATTGTAGCCTATGTAAGGTATCTAAGGTACCGGTATGTAAACCTATTATTATATAGGTATCTATATAATCATACTGCAAAAGTAAAAACCAAAGTGTACATAATAGGAGCTAGACCTAAGTAATAAGATTAAATTCCCAAACTGGTAATGTCGTCCAATAAAAATGTGTATAGCTAAAAGCTATATCCACCTTCAAATGTTAAAAAGTAAACATTGCTTTTGTAGTTTTGTTGAATTTATTTTGATCTGTTACTTGTATGCTTGCAACCACTCCACATAGCCTCAATAAGTTTAAGTTAAGTTCACATTCACTAAAACAAAACCAATCATCAAGTTGGATAGTTATATTTTATCATATAGTAAGTTATGGATTTATTAATTAAAGGGTACTTACTCAAAATTCATTCTTAAGCTTTTGAAATGAATGAGAAAAATAAATCCATACTAACTATGAATATAATATCCTAACCTCAAACTTAATAACCACTGCTTGTTGCTACACTGCTACAGTACAACTACTTTGTTTGTGTTTGACTTCTCCTCCTCTCTCATTTTGACACAACACAACACAACTTACAGCAGACTGCTGACCTTGAACTCTTCAGCCAGCTGTTTTGGGTTCTCTTTCCTCCATTTCCATTGTTTTGTTATACAAATTAAGATACCCCCTGTATCTTATTTTGATATCCCTGTATAATTTCTATATTCCATTTGTAGCTAGGTTTGCTGCTACAGAGAGGGTAATATTCTTTCAGTATAAAACAGTATAGCTGAGTAAAACAAATAGATTTGCCAAGTTTGATTTAAATGCAAACAGTTTACTTTCTCCATAAAAGAATAACATGAAAATTTTAAATCTAAAATATTTGAGATTTCTTCATACAATGTACTAAAATATTTTTTTAAGCCCTTCAAACTGGTTTAGAGAAAAATTGAGAAATTTTATGTTTTGAGGGTCAAAATCAAGAAAACCCTATTTTTACCCAATAAAACCCCAGTCCCATGGTCCTGCGCTGGTTCACAAACATCATTCAAATAAACGTAGGTTTACACCTTTTTATTAAATTTCATCAAAATCGGATAATATTTGCACGAGTTATCGAGCTAACGGATTTACTTTTTTTATGTCCCCAGAGGCCAAAAACAACACCATCCGTTCAAATTCATATGTATGTGATGTGGAAAGCGAAAAGGGAGCTCTTTTTACTTAACACTATTAATTTTAACTAGGGGAAACCCGTCGAAATCGACGGTTACTTTCAAGGCTTACGTTAATTCACCTAACTGCGATGAATTGGGCGAAATATACATGTTTTGAGCATTTAACATTGTTGAAAGAGTAATAAGTGTAAAAACAATAACAATATTGCGTTAGTTGCCAAATTTGGTTGTTCATTCAATGATTAAAATATTTAATATCCTATACGTCATTGGAGTTATTATTAGTATATTATATGGTATCTCTTCCTTTGGTAGAACCTTTAAATAATACTGTATTTAAATCGTATTGGTGGATCTTGTAGTTAAACACTTCCACGACTTCATCAGTGTTTGAGAAAAAATATATCAAATCAAATCATTTATTGTAGTCAGACAATATACATTGTATTACAAACGTCAACTTAAATTACTTCTGAATATAAACAATAATATAATTCAAAATTTTTTTTTTTATATTTATATAAATTGGGCTGTTCAAAAAATTCAGCAACAGAGTAACATGCACGTTCTAAAAGGTATTCTTTTAACTTAATTTTGAATTTTGCTTCTGACGTATTTTTGTTGAGAAGACACGTTCTAACTTCAAAGGGAGGTATATTCGTTACAGTGTAAGTTTGATTTTCCTTCGTCACGTCGCGTCAGTTCATATCGTACTTCTGTGCCAATGAATGAACCCTCTAGCATAGTTTTGAGAAATTGACTATGGGGTTTTAAGCTGGAATTCCTTGACATGGGGGAAGCTGGAATTCCTTGACATGGGGGATGTCAGTTAGTTGTCTCGGCCTTATCAATAACATAAAGTTGTCAATATAATCTCTCTACGGAATGTTAGGTGTAGTGGAATAGGTACATGAAGTAAAGTTGGCTTTTATTCTTGAACTGTTAGGGGCCTCCTAGTTCATATGATCTTGGCGGCTTCATTGGCAATAAATAATGCAAATGACATAGCAATGGAACATTTCCAAAAAGCAAAAATACTGTAAAATGGCTGTTATGTATATATTGACGTTTACATATTGTTAATCAACGTACATGATAAATACTTTAATCCTTTAATACGTTTTTTTTATGGCGACCATTCATAGTAGGTGAGCCAAGTATGAATGGAGATGAGTGTAGGATGAGTGGCACGATCTTGAAGTCTTGTTAGTGACTAAGGCCGACATTCCTTAGCTGTTAATTAATAGCCCATACAGCGAATGGCAACCAAGGGACCTACAGTTTATAGTTGAATTGGAACCAAATTTGTTTGCATTGGTATTTATGAATTGGTATAATTATCAGGATAGCACTGCGGGTAGTCGTAGTACTCACTCGTGCGGACGTTAATCCACACCAGGGAGTATCGCATCCACAGTGCATTCCTATAAATATCCACAATTCGTGACCTCCTAGTAGCTGGATTACAGGACGACGCCACCCGTCCCAGTCAAAGGATTATGTGATCTAGTTTAAAAGGAATATGACCTTTCTGTCATGACAGTAGCTGCTTAAATAGTATTTTCTCTTTGTACCATATTTTACAGCCAAAATGTCGTGTTATTTTCAATAATGTTACTAATTCAGTGCGCCAAAGTCCGTAATATAGGCAGGTGCAAATAATTTGTTAAGATAGGTACCATTTTAGGCAATGTTTCTAAGTTTGGATTTTATTAGACACAATAAGAGCAGATTTTTCTACATAAATATTTGATATTTTGTAGAATAATATGATAAAATGTAGGCAAAAGTGGCTAAAAAGGCACACACCAACCCGTACAATAGATATAAGATAGTTCAATAAGAAATAGTTTAAGAATTGCTGTGATAAAAGGATTTTCCACTGATTTCGTAATGGAACGTTATATGAGTTAAATATTTTAAGGTTTTCTTGATAAATGTATAATGTTTTTTTTAGTTTTCCTCCATTTCTTAATGTATTGATTAATTTGTTTAAAGTTAAATTTAATATAAAGTGTAATTTTATAAAATAACCCCTATGTAATTATAAATAATAGAATCACACAATGTAAAAATGCTACACAATGTAAAAATTGTAAAGAGCAATAAATAAAATAAATAAATATTGCAAAACATGACATGATAAAGAAGAAAATCAATTTTAAAATCAGAAAATAACATTGCAAATACTTATTTAGTAGAATTCAACTCCCAATAAATATGTGTTGTTTGAAATACAATTTAAAAATGAACAGCTGTTTCATTAAAAGTATTATTCTCATGGCCAAAATGTAAACAACTCTGTGGAGGGATCTTTAAAGGCTTCTGGGGCAGAGTCCTAAGGGATTTTGCTTAGTTTTTCTTTTGATAACTCATCTACAGACCAAGACCTTTCTTTGGACACCTCTACCAAGTTTCTACGCCCACCCGTTCTCTCAAATTAGTGGGGACAAAGTTTCCAATCATATATTTAGATTCCTTCATGTTAATCTTATGGGAGAAACTCCAACTTTGATGTCCTGTGGGGCAAAGCCCGAGGATATTTACTACATGAATTGGTGAAAGGGGGCGTCTACGCAAAAAATTCTTTATTTTGACACGTCGTTTGTAAAAATCCGTCCATTATTAACGGAGGAGTAGTGTTTTGTAGAAATCGCCTTCACGTATTATATATAAGGATTTATGAGCCTACAAAATGTAATAATATGTTAACAGACATACTCGTACACCCTAGGCAATTCCTTGAAATAGAAGAACCATGAATGCTCAATTGCAGCTCTACTACTTACCTACATTTTGTATTAGCCTGAAATCAAAATTATAGTCAATTAAAAAGTAAAATAAAAACCATTGTGATTATTCCTAAAAGTGTTTAGATAGTTATTTTTTATCATTTTCCCTTCTGTAACACATGCGATATTTCTTTTTACTAACCAAATAAAATCTATTTAAATTTATATTTTCAAAAATACGGTCTCATTAGATATTCTCCAGATGAGGCCTGTGCATGCGATGGGGACCGAGTTATAACCAGTAATCCAAAACAAAAACAGTAAAACCGATGATGGTGCAACAGGGGATGGCTTAGTTATTAACTTTTTGTTTAAATTAAAGAAATTTTGTGAGAAAATGTAATAACAATGTGTTATTTAACTGGAATGCTTTAAAAAGTGTTTATATATGCCTAACTTCATTTGTAATGTGAAAAAAGTATGTTGGAATGATAAAACACAACTATTTGTAGTTACTTAAAAACTGATACACCTATTCTTTCTGTATAGTAACAGTATGTTTTTAGAATCTTCATAGAAAAACTATATATTGTATTTCTCAGAATCTTACAGTAATTTCAATGGATATACTTATTAGCCTGCAAACAGTTTCAACTTTTAATATTATCATCCAATCTATGATAGTTTTAATATAGCAGACTAATATTTTTCATTTGGCAGTTTGATCCTGGAGGGCAAATGTTTGTTTACTGTAAATTAATTATTTTCTTCAATAATACTATCATAGGTAAAACAAACCTCCTTACTTTTATAGCACACTCAAATGTTTATTATTTTTCCTACTAAATGACATGTATATATTTCTATCTTTGGAATTTGACTTGTTAAAATAAATTATTTATAGAACACAGCACACTCTATGTGGCTTTTAACTGGCTACAATAAGTTAACTTCGACTTCACTCTAGTGTATTTAGTCCCAAAGCTATAACTTACCATTTCTATGATTTCTCTTGGTTGTTGGCTACAGAGGTGTTTTACAGACCAAATAAATAAGATTTGTAACATCAGGTGAGATAAGTTATCAGTAATCTAGAGCTCACCTCATCAAAGGAGATTATTAATTTTATGACCCTAAATCTCAGTTATCTCTTGTATTTTGATACTATGACAATGATAATATTGATCACATTAGCCCCTATAAGAAAAATTAATGAAAGTATTAAGAAATTACAGGTGTATAAGTAACTTAAATAGTAGAATTTCATAGGCAGATTTAAAAGACAATTCGATCCACCAGGGAAACAAATTTGCCAAGGCATATTGGTAAAATACTACAAGTGATTTCTGTCTTATGAGAAGTTCAAGAAACACCTGACTAACTTGATGAGTTCTGTAAGAAAGCATTGACATAGGAAATTGTGCACAGACTTCTCTTTTGTAAACTTTCTTAAGTCTATTTTGGTGAGCATTTGCATATATGGAAACATTTCAACACAGGTTTGGTATTTTACAATTGGACAAGAAGTTTACTTTGACTGCACTTTGTTGAAACAATTAATATTCCACAACTGCAGACAAAATAATGTTGATTGTAATGAAATCCATTTCCTATGGAGCACACAGTTAGTTGACAGTAAACATTTACTAAATTGATTAGTATAATACACTAGGTAAACAGTGACTAAATATAGCACTTGATCCATTTTATGGAAATATGGATGACTGAATTCTAAGTTTTTTTGTGGAACTGCAATTTTAATGGATTAAGGTACATAACCCAGATCCTGGTTTAGGGGTAGGTATAGCTAATACCTTTACAATTGTTTACCATACGAAGGTATATATTCAGGGCAATCAGAACACAGAGTCAGCATAAAAATTGATTGATAAAAAAAACTCATTGTTAGTAGACAGAAGTTGGTAAAGACGTTGGTTTTGACTTCCATGGGGGTAAACCATGAAATACCAGAGTATCACATTAATCTAAGACTAAAGTGTAGCTATATTTAAAGAGATTTAGAAAAGGAAGTAGGTAGGCTATAGTACTAATATTTCACATTATTTTAATTTGGAACTACTAATTCTCAGTACAATTAATCTATTGTATGTGGGAAAAGGTTTAAGAAGATAGTGTAAACAAAATTATATATATTTATTTACATTACTTTGTATAAATCACAGATATTGTACCATATTGACTTTTGGATGCCCCTTTGGAATTATTATCCTATGGCCATATGGATATAAGACAGAAAGTAAGGAGTTAAGATTTGTTTGGTAGTTGTGTAATTTTTACGCTACTCTAAGGAACCATAATTTAAGAATAATTTTACCTAAAAGCCATTCAACATGTGAATGTTTCCATGCTGAAAATGCTACTGTTTCTTACCAACAATGTAAATTTCCATACCTATCTCAAAACATACAATCTTACTCCTTGGAAAAAATCAGTAGCTTTTTACTTGAAAACACACACAAAATAGCCCTATAACTATACACAATAGTGTACAAATAATAAACACTTTGTCATCTATTGTTTTCTTTATACTCTTCTTTTCTTTGGGCAGTCTTTAAGTAAGCATCATAATCGTTTCCTTGTAATTCTTGAGCCAAATCAATAATCATTTTTTGTTCAGCAGCTAACAGGTCAGCATCTAATTTTGCATCAGTATTAATAACAGGTAAATTAGTGTTTACGGTTTCATTAAAGAGTTCATCACCCACCCATAAATCTTCAGACATCAGGAAATATCTTTGCGCTTTTATTTTGTACGGCCAGTTGAACTTGAGCAAATGTTCGTCTAGCATCGTGTTGATTACATGCTTTTCTTTAGGTATTGTTTCCACGACAGAATCCACTATACTTGAGACATTTGTTGATCCGTCGGTAGAGACATTGGCATACCTCATCACCCAAGTAACGACTGTAAATGTTACTGCGTTTGTTGGAAAGGCTCGAAAGATTGTTGGCATTAACCCTCGAGAGAGGCAAGATAATCCTTCGTTTGCGATAGACTTTTTTAAACAATCTACCAGCCCAGAGTACCTCCCAATGTCTGCCTGGAACCTTGTTTTCACAACGTCCAGAGGATATGTCATGACCCAGGACACGGTTCCGCTTATTCCTCCTGCCAAAAGCATTGTTGGAGTTCCAATGGGAACTGGCGAAGCTCTCGTCAAAAATTCATATGTTGAGAAGTAAAATCCGTAACCCAAAAACTCCCTGGCAGCCGTCACAGACAGACCTTTGAACACTCCATTGATTCTTTCACTTCTCAAAATGCTCATGAAGCAATCCACTGTTCCGTGGTAGGACGAACTGGTCTGCATCCTACAAATACACATGATATATTACAATAGATTCAGAACCGTTATCATTACATTGACATAATGATACAATATATAGCTTATATATATGAAAATGGGTTTCAAGAGGAATGAGATGTCTTGCACAGATTTATTACAATTCATATATAGCCTATATCTTTATAGTGAATGTGATAGATGATTTTACAATAAATACAAACCATTCATTTTAAAAATTTATTTTTTCAATTTGAAAAATATTATTATATGGCATGGCATTTTATGTTGTCTTGAAACCCTATAGATAGATCAAGTAACTACCAAAATAATGAATAAAGGTGAATTAGGTACCGAACACGCTCATTGGTAGCTTCCGGAACTGCTAAACCAGACCATCCTCCTTGTTATCTCTGTGTTCACCCCAAATGGCCCATGTGAGATGTGACTATAGTCTGTTCACAATATTTAGGTCGTTTGAGGGGAAGTTACCCCACCACTTTTTTGAAACGTTTTTATTAGCTCACTTTCTTGTCCGGTACAAATTTTGCAATCAATTTTATGATAACTTTCCGATGAGCTAGAGACTTGAAACTTGAAACATAGCTCACAAAATGGAAGACAATGCAATATTATATCATTTAATTTTCATATTTCCCTTGGGCTACGCCCCACGGGCTTGTTTTTATTAATTCGCTTTCTTGCAAAATTTGATACTTCCCGATGAGCTAGAGACTTGAAACTTGAAACATAGCTCAAAAATGGATGACAATGCAATATTACACAATTTAATTTTCATACTACCCTTGGGCTACGCCCCATGGGCTTGTTTTTATTACCTCGCTTTCCTACAAATTTTGATATCAACTTTAAACAAAGTTCCCGATGAGTTAGAGACTTGAAATTTGAAACAAAGCTCACAAGTGGATGACAATGCAATATTGGTAATTTAATTTTCATATTTCCCTTGGGCTATGCCCCACTGGCTTCCAAATTTTCCATGTTTACATTTTGTAAAAATGTAAACACATCAGTTAATTTAAGTCAGCTGTAAATGAGTGAAAATTTAAAAACGTACGTTTTCATGTCCCTGGCCTTTTACTTCGTAGATACTGTATTTGTAGTTTATTATTATGTGTTTTAATATTTTTTGGGACGGGGGCAACATGTTACACACATTTATTTGGTTTTAAATAGGTTCTAGGTATTTTTTTTGTATTTTTAAAGTCTCGAAATTCACGACCATGACGTGTCCCTACATTTTCCAACTTTCACGCTGTTTTTAGACTAATTATTCATGCCGAAATATATAAAAAATATATAAATCTGATTGCAGATATAAAGGTTTTTGTTAATAATGTCATTTGTTATTTATTTAGTATTATATAAAGTAAACAATAAATTAAATAGATTGATATATTTATAGTTAGTAGGTAGGCCATACATTCAATCTAATACATAATTATATGAAGAGAAACTCAAATAACCCTTAGATGCATGAAATAGATTTAACATCCACACACATTAAAAACTAAAAAGTAGAAAATAATGTATAAATAAAAAACTTTTTTAAAACAAAACGTTTTTAACACACTAAAAAGTAGAAAATAATTTATAAAATGTGGAGAGAATAAATACGTGTAAGATTTAAAACGAAAAACGTGGGGTGCATGCAATTGATAATAATACATTAGTTCAGGTAAAGGCAATTGTAAATTATCCATTGCATGGACCCGACGTTTTTCGTTTTAAATTTTACAAGTATTTATTCTCTCCACATATTTATAAATTATTTTCTACTTTTTAGTGCGTTAAAAACGTTTTGTTTTAAAAAAGTTTTTTATTTATACATTTTATGCTTGATGTCCATTAAGACATCAATTACAACTTACATAATGTTATTTTGTAACATTCATTTTGTAGCTCATTGACAATTTGACTAATCTCAGCTATTGAGCTACGTTTAATGGTAGGATTTAAACCGTGGAAGGAATAGATTTCTTCCCCTAAAACCGCCTAAATTTTGTGAACGGAGTATAATACTGTCTAATGTTTAGTTCACTCTGAATTCAGCTCATCACACCCAGTAGTCTACGGTGACGGGCAGGTGATGTTACAAACTAAATGTATCCAAACTACACCTCTAATGTTTTGCTAAGAAGGCCTACAACTAGGGTAAGTTGCAACTGTTGAAAGAACAAAAGATATCATCCCAAAAGAATCTGATCCTGAATCGTAGTGAAAAATTTGTCTATCATTAATCATAAAGTATTTCTCTTTTCTGAAGAATTTCTGTAATAAATTTCTTAAAACAACATAGCTCAGAGACTTATAAATAAAAAAAGACTCCTTCTCATTTGATTAAAGAGAAAGCATTACTTGAACTTTTAAAATCACAATTTGCATCCTAATACAGATGAATTTAACCAGTAAATCTCCAAAAGATATAAGTTATCAGCATAGTGGGACCAAAAATTTAGAAGCCCACATAGCCCAACCTCAACCATGACCCATGACTACACTGTTGCTTTCCCCACCTGGTTTTTACAAGTTCCACAGGGCTGGATACGACACTCTGTGCTAGTCCAGCTATGCCCCCCGCCAGAAACTGTGATCGCAGAGACTCTGGGTCCAAGAGGCCCCGCTGGAGGTTTCCATATACTCCAAACACAATAGCGTTGACCAGAGCCACTCCACCCATAGGTGACCAAACTCCTCGGTAAAACCCCGCCAACTGGGGACATTCAAAAAGGTTTAGAATATGGACTAGAGCTGTTGCCTTATTTTATTTGTATTAAAATAGAACATAGTGAGCTATTTGATAACAGTAAATTTTCTACTTTCTCCCTTAGATTTTGTTGCTGAGATTAAGTTTATGTGACAAATATGCAATAAGTTGTCCTTTCAGTTTGACTTGGTTTAAAAGTTGCTGAATTTGGCAGAAATCAGTGCATTCTGTTGGTGGCTAAAATTGACTATGTTAAATTTTATGCCAAAAAAAAAACTATCTATTGTGGGAAAGGAATAGATAGCACTATGTACTATGACAAGAATGTTCTAATATTCTTGTAATTTTAGAACTAATTAAAGAATTCTTGTAAAAATTACAGTTCTAATGCAGGAAATTTTGAGTTATTTTCAGGACCGCTTTTATAACTGGGATTGGCACAAGAGGTTTTAGGTTTGTTGGGGGTACAAGGAAGAGAATAATTCCCTCACAAAGTAGGGGGGGGGGGTCGCAATTATCTCTAGTGCCCTTATGGCATCACATGCAAACATGGCCTCATTATTTCATCTATAAGAAAGAACTGTCTAATATCCAAATTCATGAAGGGGATTAATAATTTCATATAGAAAATAATATTATAGTCTTGTATCCTTATGAAACTGAAAACAATATCTTATTAACCTGAGTTTAAAAGTGCATTTCAGTTAGAATATCCACACGCTTTTCAGCTTTGGAAGGAGCTAAAGCAAAATAAAGAAAAATTAATGCTTACCGATTCTGTCTGCAATATTTTCGTGAAACAGTCCCAAGTTCCGCGATATACTGGGTTTCTGAAGTCTTGTGTTTGAAGTTTCACCTATTAACACATAGTTTACAGTTGAAATCAAAAAATTGTAATGCATTGAAAATATATTGAATTTTTTATGGTAAATCTACTTGAAACATTCAACTAGACTGATGTAATTTACCATGAGGGTCTGAAAAATATTTGCTATAAAAAGGCATGTGCTATACAAAAATTCATTATTTAAGCTTCTTACCATTGTATTTCTTTATGTTTTACTTAAACAGTCATGCATCTCTTAAACATAAACCTGAGAAAAAATGCTTTTTAATTTTAATTAAAAACTTTTATATTGTTACTATATAGTGTTGAGAAACGGTAAAAAATTTAATCAGCTCATTTTTACAGTAAAAATTGTCTCAATGCATATACATTTTTCAATCAAAGAGATTAATCAAGTCAAACCACATACTTTCAGAGTGTCAAATGGATGTCCAACTGCAACACCCGCACAACCTATAAATAAAACAAAAATAATGTTAAAGTACTGATTGATGATAAAGTTATAATTTCAAGTGAAACTCCCAATTAATAAATATGTCAATCATCACAAAAATATAATTTAAATCTTTGGTTTACTCTCCCAAATAATGTTTGCCAATATGTGTCCAATAATTATATCATATATAAACATACTACCATTTAGTAATTGCTATCTGAGTGTGTTTTAATGTAATTGATTTCTGGTTATTTCTTAATTGCCTAGAAAGTGTGATGCACATGAGTGAAAATTTAAAAACGTACGTTTTCAGGAGTGTTGAGAAACGGTAAAAAATTTAAACAATTTAAAAAATTTAGCTGGGGGGTTGGCAGCACTGACTGCCCTGTGAGATACACATGATTTCTAGCTCCTGCATTTAATGTTATTTTAAACTGTTTAATCCAACCCAGTGCTATTATACTATAAAAATCAACTTTAGTAGTGCTTCGTTGACGGTAACACTCTGCAGCTACAATCTTCATTGTAAGTTTACTGACTGTGGGTGGAATAAACTGTCGTCAATAACCATTTGGATCCGGCTTTACTGACTCACCAACCACCAGCGTAGTGAAGGAGGGAGAAGGCTACGTCATTTTAACAACCAACCGGAAGCAGGTTTACCATTCTTCCCTGGGAGACACAACATTCCCCGCAGTCCTGCCTACACGTGGTTGCTGCTGTGTCGGTATTCCACCTTTGCAGGCTCTGGCGCTACGCTACCTGAGCTCCGAATTTTCTCTGCCCCTACATTCAACGGGCGACTACCTGCTTAACAGAAGAGGCTACTGTACTGCGTCGACTAGTCTACAGGCGACTGCTAATCCTGATCGGCTACCCCTGCTACTGCTACGCGTTGGAGTTGGACATTATTTTCTTGTATAATTCAAATACAAATGTATATTATGTATATATATATAAATATATGTGACTAACTTTCATTGTAAATACTCAATTTTATTTTTAAGATCATTTATCGTCAAGTCTGGCTAAATGGATCTACTGGAGAAATGTTTGTTAGAAAATTTAAATTTGAATCCTGATTCAGAAAACATACTACTTTCTTTGGTAAGCGAATTGAGAATTCTATCAGCAAATTTTCCAGGTATAGATCTTTACCAAATAGGAGACAACATAGCTTGTCTGGTGAAGACTTTAAATTATTTGAATAAAAAAAATTGTGACTTGGTTGGGAAAAACAATGAACTCTTTTCTGAAGTCTCTGATCTTACATCACATATAAGTTTGTTAACAGCCCAAAAGAAAAATGAACTTGATGAATCTTTTAAATTACAGGACTCAATTGTTGAAGAAAATGACACTTTGACTCGTGAACTTAACTTAAGTATGATTAAACTTTCAAGTCTCCAAAAAAAGTTTAAACTTATTAGTAAAGAGAACGAAGTTTTAAAGAATTCAAGTTGTAGCTTAGTGTCAAACCCTGACCACCAAAATGAAATAAAACTTCTTAAAGACAGTCTTGATGAAAAAAACATTGCTGTAAAGTCGTTGACTGATAGGCTTGAACGTGCTGTGGAAGCTCACTGCTTAGTTTCGTCCGAACTAAAATCTTTGAAGTCAAAAACGGATTGTGCCATTGTCACCGACAAATGGCTAGATGACTCTGTCTTACAGTCGTACTTTTCTTCATTTCAAGAAAGTGACAAAGCTGTGTCTACTAAAGCTTTATTTGTCGGACCAAATAGCCGTGAGCTTTTAAAGCTTGGATCTCCTAATGACGTAGAAAAACTAAGATCAGATCTATGTATAGATCATTACAGATATGCATTTTTCTGTTTGAATAATACTCAGGTAACAGACATTGAAAATCACCTTGCTGAGCGTTGTAAAAATGGCAGTGTCGGCTCACATTGGAGTCTTGTGTTCTTTGATCTAATCAATAAAGCAGTGTTCCATCTTGACTCATTATATTATATTTGTTGTCAAGAGAGCCGAAGCCCCCTGACTGCTTACCCGGTACCTATCCTTCAGGACATACCCGGGCCCCATGATGTAGGCCGAAGCTTACGCATCAACCTTTATCACATCATGGGCGGATGACTTAAGGTCATCAGGCTCGCCGGCTGCCGAAGCAGACCCTTCGGAAAGAGGGTTGCCCCTCAATCCTAACCAGGGATTCCGGCTGCTTGTTTAAGCGTCACTCCACCTGGGTTCCACTAGGTCGGAACCTAGAGGTCCAGAGTAGAGCGCCCCGACGCATTTAGTGCAAGCAACACTCGGGACCTATCTAATCCCTGACAGGCAGAACCCGCCATCAATAGCCAGGAGGAAGGGGACCATCAGCACGCTGACGGGGGGAACCCCAACCTCCCATTTACACCGCTGCCCGATCGAGGCCTTACCCATTGCTGGGAAACCAGAGATAACCAGAGCGATAGATCCCCAGATACCCCTGGCGGGCTCGGACCCAGCACCCGATCTACTTCGTTTGCCCGTCAGACCCAACATCACTGCCAGGCCATCAGGGTTTCCCAAAAGGAGGCAGGTATAGAAGTGGGACCCACCCGGATGAACCTATCCACCAGAGGTGGCGACACCCTTGACTCAATTGAGGTTCCGGGAAGAACCCCCCACACTCAAGATAACCATACCGTCCGTGCTCAGAGACAGGGATTGGTTTGCATAAGTACCTACAAACCGTTGCCCTCACACTGCGGAAAGTTACGTTGCCCTTGAGTGTCCCCGTGAGCTGCGGGTACTTGCCCGTTTTCACCTCCAGGAAAGGTTACTTCCAAAGTCGAGGATTTGCCCACTGAATGCTGGTCGCACACAACAAGCAGGCCGAAGCCCAAAGAACCACAGACACAGGTAGGTTAGAGATTATGATGTACTTCCATCTCTCCTAGAGCTAAACACCCCTCCATCCTGGATAAAGGAATGTCACTGGGACCCGATGCCCAGTCGACCATGTCTGTGGCCAACTTGAAAATGCCGATACCAACACGGAGCATTTACCTCCCCTCTGGGGGCTAGGTATTTCACCTCCCAGGACGAGGCTACTTCCAAAGTCGAGGATATGCCTCACAAAATGTCAGTCGTACACGACAGGTAGGACTCAGTCACAACCACAAGCTACAGGCAGGTGAAAGATCTATGAACTTAATCAACACTAGCAGAGCTGAACACCCCCACCACCCTGAATGGAGGGAATGTCACTGGGTACTCTCACTTTGGGTAAACCCAAAGAGGCTGGCTTGTCCAGTCGTCCATAGCTTGTGGTCTACCTGAAGTGCCGGTTCCAACACCGGGCAATTACCTCCCCTCTGGGAGAGCTAGGGTCCGCGTGGTCGCCCAGGCCACGAACCCACGCAAGCGTGAGCCCCCTGCGGTTTCCATCTTGACTCAGTAAAAAACTTAAATAACAACTCAGCACTAAAACTGACAAAGAATCTTGGTTTTACAGAGAAGGAATTTACTGAGGTCTCTTGCTGCCAACAAAATAATGGATTTGAATGTGGTTTAAATGTTCTAGTAAACGCTAAAGCTATCCTTAGCTACTTTTGTTCGGAAAATCAACCTGTGGTCACTTTTAAACACTGGTTTGATATGTTCTCAAGTGGTAAGATAAACCTATCTCTTTTAAATGCTGGCAATGACTTAGCAGATAGTTCTATAAATGCAGTAAAGACTACCAGTTCTGTTGTATGTGATAATGATAAGGTAAACAAAAAACTGTCTTTACGATTAAAACGAAGAAGTAAAGGGGAATGGGGGGTAGTAAATAAAAAGAAAAGTAATCGTAAGTTTTTATTAGAACAAAAAGATAAGTGTGTAACAACAGCAAACCGATTTGATGTACTTACAGTTCCTGACCTTGGTTCCGCTCCAAATGTACATCCTTCCCCAAGTCCAGAACCTGGGAAAGTACCCTCGACAAACCCATCTCCTTGCAGATCCAAAGGCTCTCCTCCGAACAACTCTGACATTCCTTTAAGACCGAAAACCAATATTCCATCTGTTGCCCCTCCTATTTGCAAACCCAGAAAAACGTCTATTGTTCTTTGCTCTGACAGCCATGGTCGTCATATCTCACGACTAATAAGAGACAAAATGAAGGGTAATAGTGAAGTGATTGAGTGGATAAAACCTAATGGAAAAATGGAACATGTTCTTGAGACTGTAAGGTCATATTCAAGTAGTGTTCATGACTATATAGTAGTGATAGGAGGAACAAATAACGTTGTTAACGGACGCTGTAGCTCTGATTTTTACCCTGATCTAAACAAAACACTTGACAGCGCCTCTGGAAAGAGGATAATCCTGGTCGGCCTCCCAACCAGACACGATAATCCCTCCCTAAATGCCACTGTGGACCTTATAAATTCAAATCTTCTTGCCTTATCTTCCAAGTATGATAATGTTGTTTTTCTCCCAGTAAACTCTATTCCTAGGTCCGCTTTCACTCATCATGGCTTACACCTCAACTTCAAAGGTAAAACCATCCTGTCCAATCTTCTACTAAACAAACTGAGTCAGTCTGAGGCTCCCACTCCTAGCCAGCTGTCCCCTGTTGGCTCTTCCCACACTCTCCGTTCTCGTACAATTTCTTCAAAACATTTTTTAGGCGAGGCTCGGAAACCGGAAGGAGTACCCTGGTCGCATTACCTCAAAAAGATCATAAGAGCAGTACCAAAAATCACCTCAAAGTAGTCCACCAAAATATTAGAGGGTTGCTTAACAAGATGGACGAACTTGAAATTTTCATAGATGACGAGCAGCCCGATATCTTATGCTTGTCTGAACACTTCTTGAAGAGCTATGAAATAAAAAATCTTATAATAAAGGGGTTTGACTATGTTAATGCGTACTGTAGGTCTAATACGAATGGTGGTGGAGTTTCGATTTGGTGTCGCCCCAAAATAAAGTTCGACCCACTCGATGCCACAGAGTTCTGTATCGAAGGTGAAAGTGAATTAACAGCAATGTCAATTAATTTAGATGAAAATGAGAGGTTACT